CTGAGTGCATAAACTCAGTTTCTCTCGGTTTGCTCAAAATAAGAGCTCTGCATCTTGTTCGTGTACGTGTGATTGTGTAGTTCTTAAAGGTTAACTACACAATGTGCAATGTGTTGGACCACAGAGATTTACTTATCCCATGATTTTGTGCCATTCCGCATAACTAATAGAGTTGGGACTCTTCTATCAGTCTGACTAAAGTATTCCTGCTGATTCAGATGACAGTGCGAGACGCTCTAAATTCGGCACTTGATGAGGAAATGTCAGCTGATCCACGGGTATTCTTGATGGGTGAAGAGGTAAGTAAAGCGCAATCATCCGATGATGCTTAGCTTTTGTGTTTCTCTGGCCCTTCTTTTTTTGTTTCTTATGTTGCATTTCTTCTCCCTTTCAATTTAGGTTGGGGAGTATCAAGGTGCATACAAGGTCAGTTCTAGTCAAAGAGATGAACGTGTACCTTGTAGTTATGGTTAAGTGACACATCCAACATTATTAATGCGTTGCTGCTTGATTTTGATTTGAATATGTACAGATATCAAAGGGTCTACTTGATAAATATGGCCCCGACAGGGTTATTGATACCCCAATCACAGAGGTTATACCTTTTGCACGATATTTTGTGATTTTTTCTCAATTCCATGTTCTCCAAGGAATATACTCCTTTTTTTTTTATTGCAATGCTTTCTCATTCCCATCTTTTGGTGCTGTTTTCAGGCTGGTTTCACTGGAATTGGAGTTGGCGCTGCTTACCACGGTCTCAAACCTGTTATAGAGTTCATGACCTTTAACTTCTCCATGCAGGTTCAGGGCTTTCCTAAATTATGTATAATAATCACCTAAATTATAACATTATGCTACAACAATGTGGGACGGACCCTGGGATTGACCGGTGGTAAGGGCATTCCCATGCTTTGGGCTTAGGAACCGATGGCTGTGGGTGTGATTTTTGTTCAGGGGAACTTAGGTTTAAGTGGGGAGCCATTGCGGTAGGTTGCTGTGCTAGTTAACCTCTAGGTGGCAGGCTAGTTACGGTCGTGCTTATGGATTATCAAAAAATGATGTGACAGTATGGTAAATGGGTACTGTGAGTTGAGATGGCGTTTTATGGACATCTACGTCTATTTTTTGACCCAGGATATCGTAATTGCTATGATGGGAAAATTTTAATGGAGCATTCTTCTCAAATCTCTAAGGCCGTTTGTTTTGTACCATTCCTCTTTGGCGTAATGTTTCTTATCATGCTAGAATGTTTTTGCGAGGGAATCTTGTAATGCTTCTGATGGGTTGGCATATTCTGCTTGTCGTTTTCATTTGGTCCAAAAGAACTAGTTAGATATCATGATCAAAATGACAGAGACTAAAGAAACCCGGGAATTCATGTATTGAACACTTGTCTGTATTTCTAAAGGGTTTTGTTAGTCAATTATACAATATGGTTGCAAGACAGTTTGAATAGATACTCCAGACTAGTTTGTGAGGTTAAGAAGTGAAGTGGGCCTTTAGTTTTTTGTCTTGACTATGAAGTATGAAGATGAGGATTATATCTCTGCTGTACTTGTAGTTGTCCAATCGAGATACACGTTGTGAATCGAAATCTCAAATACATGAATCATGAATCATGAATTGAGAATCGACTCGAATCATAAGATACTATAAGTTAACTAAGACTAATTTTTCTGGGCATAAACTCATATAAAGCAAGCTTAAAGTACAAAATAGCAAGTTTTCAGAAAAATTCATGATCAAAGACAAAGATAACTTAATTTCGACTACGTATAAAGCATGGCATTAGATATAATAGCATATTATTGTTCTTAAGAAGTATGACATCATGCGAAATAGAACATTTATGGGCCATATCATTAAGTTATGCAAATTTTCAGTTATATTATGGTGAAACTATAAAGAAATATTGAATACACCATTAAAGGAAAAATTAATACTGTCCTATTGTTTGCTTAGACAACAACCTAAAGTTTACTTAACAAGACATATTTGTTGATATGGATTTACCAGTTATTTTGCATCAGATTGGATTTAAATATCTTAAATGCTTTACATTGTCAAAAGTTCGATTTGTTTTTCAGTAATTAGAGGTTTGTTCTAATTCATTTACTAATATAAATCCGGCTTTATCTTCAGGCAATTGACCACATCATTAATTCAGCTGCAAAATCGAATTATATGTCTGCTGGCCAGCTGTCAGTACCTATTGTTTTTAGAGGTCCAAATGGAGCTGCTGCAGGAGTTGGTGCTCAACACTCTCAGGCATGACTTTTTCATCGTCTAACCTTTTAGCACTTGGTGTCTTTACAATCGATGGATTGAGTGTCTTGACCACTTGATCTGCACTGCTTGTGATTACATATGACTGATTCGTTTTGTTTTGGTCATGAATAATGACTGATTCCACTTAGTTGATTATCTCCAGTGTTATGCCGCCTGGTATGCGTCTTGCCCGGGCTTGAAAGTATTGACTCCATACTCTTCTGAAGATGCCCGTGGCCTGTTGAAAGCTGCCATAAGGGACCCTGATCCTGTGGTTTTCCTTGAGAATGAGTTATTGTGAGTAGATTTTCGCCATTGGATTTGTATGCACTTCTCTTTCTGATTTAGGGACAACTCTGAAGTAAATTTTGGGATTCAGATATGGTGAGTCATTCCCTGTTTCAGCTGAAGTGCTAGATTCCAGCTTTTCCCTTCCCATTGGAAAAGCCAAGGTATTTCTTAATCATGTGAAATTTACAGAACTGGTAATTTCGTATGGTCAATTTTCTCATCTTTTCCACCTTTTAATTTCAACAGATTGAGAAGGAAGGGAAGGATGTGACGATAACGGCTTTTTCAAAGATGGTGGGCCTTGCCCTCGAGGTTTGTCTTGCATCTACCTTCTGTTGCCTGAGATGCTATATATTGTCCTTGCCAATCGGAATGTGCTTTTTACAGGAAATGTATCTACCTTTAGTTTGCTCTTTTCTTGCGAATCTCCTTTAGTGACTGATCCCCTTTCAAATGAGTTTAACAGGAAATGCCTGCCTCTAGGTTTTGCTTCAGTCACTAGGCTGAAATTTAATTCGTTTAGACTAATCTAAATTTGCCTAGTGTTCAGGCAGCTGATATACTTGCAAAGGAAGGAATTAATGCTGAGGTAAATGAATCTTTTTAGCCTTACAGAAAATTGATTTATGTCAAATGTTTGTAAAATGAAGTAATCCTTTTAATCCAGGTCATTAATTTGAGGTCTATTCGACCTCTTGACAGAGCCACTATCAACGCTTCAGTCCAGAAAACCAATCGGCTTGTAACAGTCGAGGAAGGGTTTCCTCAGCATGGTATTGGCGCCGAGATCTGGTTTGCCCTCTCCCTTTGCTATTTAATTTTCTACTTGCAGTTTACAGAGGCACGAATAATCTCTATGCTACTTGTTTGCGCAGCACATCAGTTATTGAGGAGAGCTTCGGTTATCTTGATGCACCGGTCGAGAGAATTGCTGGCGCTGATGTTCCCATGCCTTATGCAGCCAACTTGGAGAGGTTGGCTGTCCCTCAGGTCGATCAACTTCCTTAAGATTCTTCTGCATTGTTAATTGATGAAGTTACCCAAGGCAGACTGCTTGAAGAATGCCCTTATTTCTATTTCACCACCTCCTTTTTCAGTGAATCTGTATATGCAAAACTAAGAAATCTTTTAACAGCATTACTCGAAGTATTGGAGGGGTTTCTAGCACTGCCTGGCACCTGACGTTCTTTGGTTTCTCATCATGCATTGAGCAGGTTGAAGATATAGTTCGTGCAGCAAAGCGAGCTTGCTACAGATCCGTGCCAATGGCTGTAGCAGCTTGAATTGACGGGAGAAAAACCAATAAAGATGTTTTTTCAAGCCGAGGGTCGGCCTTCGCTGAATTAGTTAGGTTTCCGGTTTTATGGATGGATGTCCACCTACAGAGGCTGACTACTTCTCCTTTTGTTGGTTGGGCCTTCTTTTGGGGGTGGTTGCTTTTTGCTATAGAAGATTTGTACTGCTATAATTTTTCTTGGAAAATTTCTCTTTCTCATCATATGAAGGAATAACTCCCCGCTGTCTGAAACTGGAAAATGGCAAAGGCGTTGGGAAGAAGATACCGCGGATTCTTTAACATTTGTATTTCTCGCAATAAGTATAACAAGACCTTGCGTTTTTTTGGGAAGCCTATCGTGTCTGTACTTTGAAAATCATGGTGCTTTTGATCTTCTTCCACTCTGTGAGCAGTCGTCGTACTAATTTGCTGCACATCTTCTCACTTTTCATGCGGTGTTTCATAACAAATTATCTGCTGATTAAGTCGAACATCCTACTTTAAAGGCAAATTATGGAGTTGGCCATACTGGACCGGGGCAGCAGCCGGCGATTCGCGTTCTCGTGACGAATTTGGATTACGAGTTTCTCGATCAAAAACGGGAATTTCAAACATTGCTACTTTCCTCAAAGTATGAATCTCTATCGATTTTCATCGATGGATGTTCTTGCCAGGTATTTTGTTAGTTAATGTCGATGCGTGGCTATCTAATACTTATGTGTTGGTCAATAGAGAGAGGGTTTTTGCAAGTGAGCATGGTTTCACAGTCGAAGACGATCCCACCGTCCATCTGACGCCCACCTCTTTTGCGGCGTTGATGTGCGCGCGCGTGCTTACGGTGGGTCTCGGAGGCAGGGGATCGCAACCCGAGTATGCCACGTCGCCTGCGACATGTCCAACGCATTAACCAAATCTAATCCAAAACCCCCACGTACTCATCCTCCCCCTCCCCCCCGTCCTCCATTTTCTTCTTCTTTTTTTATTTATAATTTTCCCCATTTTCTTTTTTCATAACTTATTATTATTTTTTTATGAATTGACCACCATCAAATGCATTTCGTTCGCAAATGTTAAAAAATTCTCGTAACGGTCCTGTTTGGGAGAAATGATATTTTCGTCTCGGAATTTCCGAAGAAAGAAATGGCGAAGAAGGACGGTTGAAGCAGCAGGGTGACGCAACTTGGACTCTCCGCCGCCACCTGGACCGACTTCCTTGTTTTTCCTCGGTCGCGTCAGCGGATTCTTCCATGCTCCCTCTCTGTCTCTCTCTCTCTCTCTCCCTCTCCTTGTTCGCTCATCTCTCTACAAATCCTCCTAACACTTCTCCCGAGTTGCTCCGCGGTGAGGCGATCCCCCACCCAAGGCTGATCTCCCGAGCTCCGCCCGCTTCTTCCTCGTCGATCGGCGTCCGCGACTCGGAATCGATTCGTGAGGTCAGTCCGTTTCCGTCCTCGGTCGATCGATCGGTTCCACCCCTCCGATCAGACCGCCGCATTGCTTGATGTTCACTCGAATCACGTGAAGATTCGCTGAATTCTCGATCTCAGCCGTTTTCTGTGCTTCACTTTTGCTTAGTTCGCGCCTAGTTCTCTGTGTATCTTCGAGGTTATGCGGCCTTTGAGTATACGTTTTGGTTTTAATTTGTTTTTTTTTCCTTTGTTGCCTTCTTTGACTTTTCAAAGGCTGTGGGGGCTTTGTCTACATCACCTGAAAAATGCAAGGGGCGACACTTGCGGTCAAAGCAAGGACGGGCTATGGATTGCATAAGCTTACGGGCTTGACTGCTGGATCCGGTGAGTACGGAGGTCGGAGGAGTTCGAAATTGAGCGTTCGCATGAGCGACAGGATCGGTTGCTGTGGATTGCGTCGCGGTTTGGTCTCGATGGAGACCGAGCTCGCGCGCGCCAAGATCGGCTTCGGGAGCTTGCTGCGATCCTCGGCCAAGGCCAAATCGGTCAGGGCTCAAGCTTCTGGTGAGCTAGTTGTTTGCTGGATTCCCCTTCCTTATTGTTCTCTTCTTTGGCTCTCTCCCTGATCTGCGTGTTTTGTTTGGGGTGTGTGTGTGTTAAAGTCTTTGGCCATTTTGAAACAAATGCTACATATCTTCTGTCTTTATATGATGTGGTGTGGTATATGTAGAAAAAGCTGTCGGCTTCATGCTCCTTTTTTGTTTTTTTTTGTTTTTGTTGTGAGAGAAGTGCAATAGATGTAGCTTATGATGTGTATGAGTTCTGATATGACACCTTAGGATGCTTTTCAATCTTCTACGTATTAGGTTGTTGCTATTCGATGAGGAGAGTTTTTTTGCTTCTAAAGCTAGTTTTAGTGCTTGCTATAAGTTGCTCTCCTCGTAATGTCTAAGACTTTTGAGTGCATACTGATACAAACAGAGAAGAAACAAAATAAACATGGGACGCAAGCTTGCTGTTCTATGGGTATATTTCTAAAGCAGACGGAATGCATTGAGTGATTGGAGAATGCCTGCATGTATCTTGCTTATTGAACATCGATGTATGGTTGTCGTCAAAGATCAAGTAATCATGCTTGGCATAAGGATTAATCTTTGCTTTACCACTGATTGGATCTTTTGCTGAGTTTCAGAAGAAGATATCGAGGATGTTGCTCCTCTTAAGCCAGAGACTAAATCTTCAGGCACAGTCTTACCTTATGTTGGCGTGGCCTGTCTTGGAGCTATCTTGTTTGGCTATCATCTAGGGTACATCTTGATTAATTATGAAGTGATATAAATTCTTCTTTTGGTTAGTTTTAAATGTTACATTGACCAAAGAAATTGATGGGTGATTCTTTTGGCTATTCTTTGCATTTTTGTTAGAAACTTTGAACTTTCCATCAGTGCATCCGTGAATTTTTTAATGATTTTCTCATGATGCAGGGTGGTGAATGGTGCTCTCGAGTACCTGGCAAAGGATCTTGGAATTGCTGAAAACACTGTCGCACAAGGCAAGTTCATTTCATTTTCCACTGGGTTACGGATATTTCATCCTTTTCGTATCCTGTTCCCTATGGTGCCCCTATTTTTTTTAATGCACCTTACGGCTGTCATGGACCACTGTGCTCCACCCATTAAAGAAGAATTACTTAGTTGTGATCAACTAAGAATTCTCATCTCACTTAGTTTAGAGGTGACTACAAACATGAAAGCAATGGTAATGAGTATTGAATCCTCAATGAACTATTGTTGTTGTTTGTTGCTGCATCTGTAACCATTGATGATGTTGCTTTGTTCTACTTTCTGTGGGGTTGAACCTTATGTTATTATGCAGGGTGGATTGTCAGCACACTTCTTGCCGGTGCCACTGTTGGTTCATTTACTGGAGGAGCATTGGCTGATAAATTTGGCAGGACAAGGACTTTTCAGTTAGATGCAATTCCTTTGGTCATTGGAGCCTTTCTTTGGTATGCTCTTCATCAATTATGGGTTCATGCTTTTTGTCATGCATAAGCATTCCTGAATTCAAACTGACCTGTGTCAATAATGAAGTGCTACTGCCCAGAGTGTGCAGACTATGATAATTGGTCGTTTACTTGCTGGAATTGGAATTGGCATCTCTTCTGCTATCGTGCCACTTTACATTTCTGAGGTACTTACATATCTTTTGCTAAGTATGGCCGCTAAAATTTAAATTCAACACTGCTCACTTTATTCGCGATGGTCAGATCTCTCCGACCGAGATTCGTGGTGCCCTTGGATCTGTGAACCAACTTTTCATATGCATCGGGATTCTTGCCGCACTGGTTGCTGGATTACCCTTAGCAGGGAACCCTTTATGGTACTTCTATAGTTAGTAACAGTTTCTCCAAAGTCGTCGTTCATCTGTTTTCTGCTCAATGGTGTTGCTTTACGTATTAACATTAAAAGTAAAGAAGAAGTTGGTGGAATAACTTTTGTTTTTGTTTTATGTGCAATTTCTTCTGAGGTAGTTTCTAGTTGTGAATGAGGATTACTTGCTTTAGCTCTGGAAGAGAGAGGTGTTGTAATTTGAGAGCTCAGATGCCATGTATCTCTGATTTTGAAATTTCATTGTGAAGGAATAGCCTGGAATGTTTCCTTATTTCCTATTGTGCTATGACAGGTGGAGGTCAATGTTTGGGATTGCACTAATCCCTTCTGTTCTCTTGGCATTGGGGATGGGATTTTCTCCAGAAAGTCCTCGATGGCTCTTTCAGGTAATGAGTTGGGCTTACCTGCAAGTTATGAAAGTCCTCTATTTCTGCAATTAATATACCTGTGCTAGCTTCTAATGCAAAAGAGAACCCATAATTTTTCGGTAAGTTCATTGATGAGAGCGCTGAGGTATAGGTATTCCATTTGTAGCAAGGGAAAATTGTTGAAGCTGAAAAGGCCATAAGGACGCTGTGTGGAAAGGAAAAGGTAGCTGAGGTTATGCAAGATTTAACTGCTAGTCAAAGTGGCTCTGCTGAACCAGAAGCTGGATGGTTTGACCTCTTCAGCAGCCGCTACTGGAAAGGTAATTCCATCTGGAGTTATGAAGAGTCGAATGTATTTGTTTAGAGAAGTTCCTTTGACATGTGTGATGTGCAAAGTATTGCTTCATTTATCAGAAGAGAGAAATATATTTGCCTTAGTTCAATTAAACCAGCTGCTGTTGGTGTAACAATGTGGAATGATGTAGTCGGAAATCAGTACGCGTTGCATCACATCTGTGTGACAGGCCCTTGTTGTCATATATGAGTAAACCAAAATAATAGTGGTCATTTAGTCATGTTCATACTGATCGAGGTGCATGATCAGAGTTGAATGATAAATTACGATTTGGTTCGTGCACCACTTCAACTAGTTCATTCATTTGTTATTTCGCTAGGGAGCAATTTTACAGCGCCATTTTGTGAAATTGTTGCTGAATCATGGTGGTCTACTTTTGTATGAGTTATACTGTCAATGTGTAAATTCTGTTGTGTCTGAACAATATAAGATGTTTTCTGCCATATGCATCATTTGCATTTTTGTTTGGGTTACTTCCTCAGAGTAGTAGTATGTTTCTTAGCTGCCTAGGAATGTAATGTCCAACGTGTGGCATTCATGATATGAATCATCAGTTATGCCTGCCAAAATTCCATTTCCCATATTGTTCAATCCTTTAATTTATTCTACATTCTAGTAAATTTCATACATATCTTGCTTGGTTTTATCTTTATCAGTTATTTTCTAGAATAATCTTGATATCCAATCCTTTGGGATAATTGATAAAGCTGATTATGAGCAGCAAATGGTGAAGATAGTTGGTAGCAGATAAGCATTCTTTTGAGATTAGCATTTCTTTTGTTGCATTTCTGCTATTTCACAGAAAATGATCACATTATCAGGCTCACCATGCTTTGGCTCTCATTTTCTTTATGCAGTTGTGAGTGTTGGTGCGGCACTCTTTCTATTTCAACAGTTGGCTGGTATTAATGCTGTTGTATATTATTCTACATCTGTTTTCCGAAGTGCTGGCATTGCATCTGATGTTGCAGCCAGTGCTTTAGTTGGGGCAGCAAATGTTTTAGGTTAGTTTCTTCGTCTCATCTTCATGAGTCCAAGCACTCATGCTATATTCTACATAAGCTTCTAAAGGGTGCATATTTATGTATGCAGGGACAACAGTTGCATCCTCTTTGATGGACAAGCAAGGGAGAAAAAGTCTTCTGATGATAAGCTTCACTGGAATGGTACAGTTCCTTTCCTATAGTTTGAGTATTGCCTGTACTTGAGCATGTTGCCTAATAATATATGCGGGGTAATCGCCTTTTCCAGCTATATGGTACTGTTTCTTTCCCTGATGTTAAATTCTTGAAAAACTACATGCCATAGTAGAATCTCTTGTTTTTTCTTTTTTCATCCTGAAATTAACTTATGATATCAGAGTCTACTGTTTATTGATCAACTTAAAAACAATTGGTGGATAAGATTTTGGAACCAGAGAGTTTGTCATTTGATTCTTATAAAGTGCAGTCAATTTCACATACTCCCGCAGTCCAGTCACTCGTAGAAGTTTTGCTATGACCTTATTGACTCTGTTATAGCATCACCAGCTTATAATGACCCATAATGTGAACATGACCCAGAGAGCCAGAGTTTGTTCAGATTTTGGTTAATTTAAGTTTTTTAATCCAATGTGTTATAAGATCTTTCTTCTCGCAATAATTAGTGGTGCTCTTCTGCTTGCCCCCTGATCCTATGTAATGTCGTTGTCGTGGATGGCTACAGCTTTTTCTGCATTGTCAGGTGTGGTTTATCTTGCTTGGTAATGTGATCACACAGATCTCCGGTGCTAAACCGGGGTTGATCTTGGGTGGCATCTATAGGCTCCCTCCATTGATATTGGACAGATACCTATTGGATTCTTGGGACTTGATAGAGTGGATGTTGCCTGTTGGAGATTTTAATCTATTATTATTGTGACTCAGCGTATCCTCTGTACCCCCCCGCCCCCACATTCCGGATATAATTTCCTTTTTTTGGGTCTTTTAGTCATCTTTCTCCATCGGTTGGATGCTTATATTTTCCCCCTTTTTTGAAGGCTGCTTCCATGTTACTTCTTTCCTTGTCCTTCACCTGGAAAGTCCTGGCACCTTATGCTGGCCCTCTTGCAGTAGTTGGAACTGTGCTGTAAGTTTTCTTATTCAATTAGCAAATTTTTGTGGGCTTCATTTTCTTGTTTGGGTTGTTGCATTAATGTTACTTTGATTCTGTTTCATCAGGTATGTCTTGTCATTCTCTCTTGGTGCTGGACCTGTTCCTGCACTGCTTCTACCAGAGATATTTGCCTCTAGAATCAGAGCAAAAGCCGTCTCTTTATCACTTGGCATGCATTGGGTGAGTTTGACAAACTTGATCATGTCTTCACGGTCAATATCACAGTGTTCTGGATTATCTATCATTTAAATAACTTTTATAACGATGTACAACTGTAAACTACAAAATGGATTCCCATTCTACTGAAAACAAGTTTTATGCTCTCACCTGCACAATTTCTCACGAGACTAACGGAATTTCCTATCTGCCAGATCTCCAACTTTGTGATCGGGTTGTTTTTCTTGAGTGTCGTGAACAAGTATGGGATCAGCTCAGTGTACCTGGGATTCTCGGCTGTCTGTCTCCTTGCTGTCTTGTATATAGCTGGTAACGTTGTGGAAACAAAGGGGAGATCCCTGGAGGAAATTGAACGTGCTCTTAACCCGGCAACTTGATCAATGCGGACAATTTCTTCTGTAACTACACGTCCAAGGAGATCGTACCAGTATGGTTACTCTCTTCTTTTCCTGCAGATAGCATTTCCAGTTTCAGTTAGGACTCGACCCAGGGACATACCAGATTCCCTTTTTCCCTTCAGATGTTCTTTGCTGTATCCTAAGTCAGTCGTCGAGAGGCTTTGTTTTGCTCCTTTTTTTGGGATTGAGTGCTGACTTCTAATTCCAGGACACATTGTGGTGGGTTGAGAAGGAATAATCTGGGTCGCAGATGACAACTTTGTTCATCATTGTATCTCTTGAGCGAAACCTCTCATGTATTTAGTTGAACTGTCGGATTGGCTGGTTTTCAAAGAACGACCTCGACATAAGATTGGATCTTTTCTCAGGTGCTGTGATGGAAATAGGAGAGCCGATTAAATGATTCGCAGTGCGAAACGAGATTTGTGCTTTGCCTAGACCGAAAATTTAGGGAAGAAGAAGAAGGGTTAAATGCTCTGAGCCTGGATAATATAATGTAAACGAGTTGGCACGACGAAGAGCTACTGGAGTGGAGATGAACTTGGAAGATTTGACGCGGTTACTAGCTTGCTTCCCCTGCAAATGAGAGGGGAGGAATGAGAGAGAATGAGATGAGAGGGCTCTGATTCCAACAAAGAAGCACGGTCTATTCACTAACTTTTTCTTCGATTGCGTACAAACCAGTGTCATAAAATGCATTTTGATATCAATTCGGTAGGCAAGAAAACGAAAATCGCAAGCCCATGAAAATGATGAAGTAGGGAGAAGGTGTCCCTGTTTCGTGAGGCTAACTGGCACGTGCATTGCCCGTGCCGCGAAACCGATCCCCGCCTTTCGTTCCTCACTCTCAGTCCGATGCCGAGCTCGTCAAAAGTGAGAGATCCTCCCCGTCCAGCTTCCCACTCCAAGTATCTCGCGCTCGCGCTCGCGCTTGCAGAGACTGAACTGGAAGGCGTGCGTTCTACAACCGCGCTCGCAGCTCGCGAAGGTCGCCGAGGACGAACCCTCAGCTCCGCCATCAGCTATGGCGGCCACCCTTTTCCTCTCTCCTCCCGCATTCGCGACCAAGTCGTGCTTTCTCGCTTCCTCCTCCTCCTCCCCAAGCGCGACGGGTTCCTCCGGAGCAACGGCGGAGAATCTCCCCACGAGAAGAAGCCCGGATTTCTCCGTCGCGATCGACCCCATTTCGCGGCCGAACGGTCCGGTCAAGATGCCCACGGCTCCGTGGATGCGGGGCCCGCTTCTCGTCCCGCCCCACGAGGTCCTGGACCTCTCGAGGCCCCGGAGCGGCAATAAAGGCTCGGAATTTAGGAAACCCGAGAGGTCGGATAGAGCTCTCGCCGACAGAGCGAGCGGCGTCAGAGGAAGCAAGGCGGTGCGGAAGATTGTGCAGAGCATTGAGAAGCTTGGAGGGAGGAGCGAGCCGGACAGAGCTGGGGACGAGTCGGGGGAGATCGAATTCGGGCTTTGTCTGGAGCCGTTGAAGGAGGAAGGAGTCAAGTCGGCTTCTGGAGGGAAAATGCCGTGGGTGAGGGAAGGCGAGAAGGTGGTGTTCAGGAGGGCGAAGGCGGAGAAGAAGGCGGCGGATGTGGCTGAACTGAGCCTCGAGAAGGAGTCGCTGGAGAGGCTGAGGAAGGAGGCTGCGAAGCTGAGGAAGTGGGTGAAGGTGAAGAAGATTGGAGTGTCTCAGGCCGTTGTGGATGAGATAAAGTGGACTTGGAGGAGGAATGAGCTCGCCATGGTGAAATTCGACGTCCCTCTGTGCCGCAACATGGACAGAGCTCAAGAAATCCTCGAGGTTTTTCCTCTTTTATTTTCCTCCTTGATGAGATTTCCTTGTCGTGTTATATTGTTTACGCAGGTGAAATTTCTGTGTTGTCCTTCGGTTATTCGGAATCCGAAGCTTGGAGCGTGAATTGTAAAATTTAAAGCTATTGTTACAATGGGGGATTGGAATATCTGAGCTTGTCCTCAATAATCCTGACTGCTTGCTTTTGCATGAGGTGGGACAACATGATGAGTCAAGAGTACATTCGTTGCTTTTTGAATCTTGATGGCCTCCTTGTGATTAGACATTGGCTCATTGAGATCAACTAACAAGGTGGTTATGGAATAAAAGATTCATGTGTTTTTGAATTTATAATTTGGTGTTGCTTTAGAAATTATATGGTCTGAGGCATTGTCTGGATATTTTGTCCTCTTTGAAAAGAAAGAGAGAAAAAAAGGGTCTAGATTACTCGCTCCCACTCTTCTCGTATGTCAGTCATTTCCTTACTGACGTGTCTCACTTCTTTGGCTGGACTTTTGGTGGAGTAATACATGAGCCATAACTGGGATGACACTGTTCAAATGAAATGAGATGCTCTGTTGAATTTGCTTATGCCTCTGTTTGATTTATGCTGGTATATAGTTTAGACTGTTATGATAGAAACCAAAATTTTTTAAAAAGTCTGAACCTCCTTTCTCATAGTTCCCATTATCTTATCTAGGTTATGTTTTCCAGTTATGTACGATGAAGTTTTTTTCTAGGGAAGCTTCTCATGGTTGATTCCTTGATTATTTCGTGTGAATAGATGAAGACTGGCGGCTTGGTTATTTGGAGGAAAAAAGACGCTCTTGTTTTATACAGGGGAATCCACTATCCCTATAAAGTCTTTCAGGAGAAGGAGCGCATCCCAGCTAATGGTCAAGAAAGACTTTCCTTTGTCCGCATGCAGTCTAACCCTAAACATGTCATATCTATAACACCGGTGAAAGATAATCAAGGTATTCTGGATGAGAAGATGAAAGGAGAGGATGGACAAAGGCAGTCTAGTGCCATCTCAATAGACTATAAAGCATGTTCTAAGTCAATCAATGGTTCACTGTATGAGAGGGAAACTGATAGATTACTGGATGGCTTGGGTCCTCGCTTTGTTGACTGGTGGATGCACAAGCCATTGCCCGTAGATGCTGATTTGCTTCCGGAAGTGGTACCTGGCTTCAGTCCCCCGCTAAGACTATGTCCTCCAAATGAACGGCCAAAGCTCACTGACGATGAATTGACGTTTTTAAGGAAGCTTGCTCACCCATTACCAACTCATTTTGTCCTTGGTATGAAAACTTCCTAGTAACTCTTTGTTTGTTTTTCCGGGAATAACTTTCAATATGGAACATCTTATATTGTTGTAAAGAGGATAGTTGATCCTTAGTTGGTCTTGTTTAATTGGTGAAAGCGAGAAGATCTGATTGAATATTCTTTCGTCTCGACTTGCTCACTACAAAATTTATATGATCATCTGAAATGTTAATAAGCGAGACGTATAGCAAAGGTCCTTCAAGAGCTTCTTCAGTTACTTTAAGCTGCTTGAACAGTTTAGGGTAAATGAATGTTCAGTTGATGCATGATCATAGTCATCCAGTAACATGCAATTTGCTAGATGCATTGTGCACCAGCATGAGGTGTCTGTGTTTGAGGTTCTCTGGTTGTTGTTGCATCATCATTTTGAAGGGAGAAACAGGAAATTGCAAGGGTTAGCTGCTGCGATTATGAAACTATGGGAGAAGAGTCTTATAGCCAAGATTGCGGTGAAGTGGGGTGTACCTAACACTAACAATGAGCAAATGGCATATGAGCTCAAGGTGAGTCATAATTAACTGTGCGTTCTGCTAAAATAAATGATAAGACATTTCCGGTCACATCTTAGAGAACATTGCAGGGTCTCACTGGAGGAATTCTGCTGCTACGAAACAAGTTTTACATTATACTATATAGAGGCAAGGACTTTCTTCCTCGAACACTTGCAAGTTCAATAGTGAAGAGGGAATCGGAGCGGAGAAAATGCCAAGTTATTGAGGAAGATGCAAGAATTAAGGCGTTTGAAAGATTAGCTATAGCAAATGAGCCATTGGCAAAGACTTGCTCCATGGGAACACTATCAGAATTCCTAAAAATCCAAACAGATTTTCAGGAGCAGATAAGAGGAGTGGGGGAGGTCAATGTCAGATTGGTGGCTGAAATAGAAAGATTAGAGAAGGAGCTGCGAAATGAGGAGCGCAGGCTTTTCATTGTAAGGTCCACAGCTATCGCCTTAATTCTCTTTGACATGCTTTTTGTGGTAACATGAATAGTGTGTGTGCAGCTTAAAAGTAAGATGCGCAAATCAGCAAAACAGCTGTCAAAGTTGAATTCTGGATGGAGACCTGCCACGGAGGACACAGACAAAGAGATGATGACAGAAGAGGAAAAAGAATGTTTGAGAAAGATAGGACTGAAAATGGACGGAAGTTTAGTGCTCGGTGAGAAAAAACATTTATTCGTGTGATCATCCGAGTTTCGCTCCTTCTTTTGCTCTGGGAATACCCTATTTGACCTCATTTATCGCGGAAAATGAAAAATGACTCAAGTTTGAATGTTATCACATGATACTGATAGTACTTCTGCAAATCTCTCATGGTTGGATTGATCTCTTGATTTGTCAAACAATCATGCCACCACAGCTAGGTCTTCTAATTCATTCATTTATTCATTAGAACTGAAAATGGAGGCAGAATCTCTGTAAGCAATGTTGATTAAAAGATCATCAGTTTCTTGGACTACTAATCTCTTCAGTCCTCTTAATTGTTTCATTCATATTGTCTTCAGGAAGGCGTGGTGTCTTTGATGGTGTTATCGAAGCAATGCATCAGCACTGGAAGCATAGAGAAGTGGTCAAGGTCATTTCTATGCAGAGGGCGTATCCACAGGTCATCTGTACTGCAAAACTGCTCGAAGCAGAAACTGGTGGGATTGTAGTTTCAGTTGACAAGCTGAAGGATGGCCATGGTATAATCATATACCGTGGCAAAAACTACAAACGTCCTGTAAGGTTGTCAACAGAGCATCTACTAACAAAAAGAAAAGCACTTCTGCGATCTCTTGAAATGCAGCGATTTGGTGTAAGTGAAGATCCACCTTTCTGAACCAACCATTTCATTTCTGGATTTATGTCATCATTTTCTTGGTGGCACGAATTTAGGAGCATCTATTAAGGTTGAAGCTTTTTTTTTTCTCAGTCGCTGAAGTTTTTTACAAATCAGAAGCAAAGGAAGGTCTCTGACTTGCAACTGAAACTGGTAAATGTTGAAGCGTTTGTAATGAAATAGTTTGCTCAATTCTTACGCTAGCATCATATTAAGGTCTAATAAAGCAACATTTTGACTTTCTTCAGCGTAGATGGGATTTATCTGGTTTAACTTCTTATAAGTGTAATTAATGGGATGCTTTCTGGACAAATTTATAGGCTGAACTAAAAGATCAGCTGGGACAATAAAGACAGAATATGATGAAGTTTGTAAATCATCATAGAAGGCATTTCTGTGATTTTCAGTGCACGAAATGCGCAATGATTCCTTTGTGGCATGAAATGAATTATGAAGGTTCTCATCCATCACTTTGGATTCCTTGTACAACCTGATTGCTTGACTTCTTTTGAGTGGAAGTGGAACTGAGGACAGCAGATTGCACAACTCCATGGTGCCTGATTTTTGTTACTTGGGACCTCCTACAGTAGAGGTCATTATATCCAGGTGAGCATGCAATGACAATGGTATGGCTCTAACATTTGCACTAACTTCCCATCTTTTTATTGGACATGCCATCTCAAGTGCACTTTTGGACTAATCAAAATCCGGAGGAAATTTCTCTTTAGCCTCCTAAATCATGGCTGGTTTGGCACCTAACACGCTAAACTAGAGGGACATTACCATATTCTGGTAGATTCACCATAAAGTGCCCGCAGCCCCTCCCCAGACAATTCACATTGCAACTTTTTGCTCTGAACTATTAATTTTATAGCCTTTGCCCCTCGAACCCATTAAGAATTAAGGGAAATTTCAGTGTAATGAATCTAATACTTTACTTTAGTAAAGTGTCATCTTTTCAATTTCTTGGTTGAAAGTAAGAGATGTTGTGCGGCGCTAGATATTCCTCAGTACATTGTTTTGAGTCCATGAATGATTCCTTCATGGAACTTAGAAAAAATCTAGTAATGTTCGGTGAAGAAGCTGTCTGAACAGACTTTCTAATGTTGGTTCTCTAAAATTCTTGTTATCTTGATTCCATTTGCTTTGATAGGTCTAATGACATTTTATCCTTGAAATTTTTTTTTCTATCTTGAAGTGTGGATGGGGAAGCAAGTGTAAGTGACTGAATAAAACTTAGAATCCTATTTACAACTACATCTCATTTCCCAATTTCTTGTGCTATGCTTTGCTCTATGTTAAATTGCATTCAGATCTATGCACGGCTCCGGACTTCAGGAATATGAAGGGCGCGCTTTTTGGATTAATCACCCGGGTTGGACCATTGGGTCTACCAGTATAGTGGAGCCTCTGAGCCTAGTGCTTCATTTGCCAGCAAATCTAGTAGAAGTCATTCACTCCCACTAACATAAGGGCGGTGGGAAGGTTGTGATCAAATGGCATTGAACGCTTCAGGTTTATCTTTGATTTACCCTTTTAACCATTCACAATACAGACACATACTGGTGCTTATTATATCTCCCACAACCACTAGAATCTCTCTTTTCTCTGTTCTTTTTCCTTCTTGGTGATTGTGGCATTGCTAAGTGAACTTGCTATCAATGACTAGACATCCTAATGTCAGTCAAGCTGTATAAACCGAGTTATTCAAATGGAATTACTAGCTTTCTCTAAATCCAACTGTTGAAATGTGTGTTGTTAAGATAATTGATACTATGAGTCTATGAGGCTATAGCCGCTGCATACTATGGTGAGGTGTTTTCTCCGTTTGAGGTAATGGCTTTTTGCATATTCATATGTAGAGAAACTCAGGTTAGTGACAAGTAATATTACTTCCTTTGTGTATCAGAATCAGGTGGATCTGTTTCATATCCCATCTCTCCATCAGAGTTCAAACGAATTATCCCAAGGCACCAGCAACGAGTCCTAAAGAAAAATCTGTGGTCATTAGAAAAATGAAACAGTGAACTGCTAAATTCCTCGTTTTTCTTCCACTAATAGTTTTTGCTGTTGGGAAAGACACTTTTGGCCAGTTTATAAGTATACTTTCAGGACATACGTGTAAACTTGGCAGTTTTGCATGCATATTGTTTCCGAATACAGTGCGTATGACTGGGTTTCCCTCTGTGTTGGGGCCTTTTCCTTCTGATTGCTTTGCTACTTTTGAGCGTTAACGATAACGATGATCCTTCAAAATGATTTGGTGCTTATGGTTAAAGATGACAGGACTGGGATAGGTGGTACTTGCAAGAGTTCAGGGTTTCCTTCCAAACATGATATTTCTAGTTTCACCCGAAGAAAATGTAAAAAGTTTCCTTCCAACATCTCGGTAACCTTCAAAATTGATGGATGCTCGTATAGATTGGTTTGGATGCATCACAAAAACTACGTGGTCTTGCAAAACTTGTAACATTAGCAATCTTATCAAAGTGAATTCTGACAGTAGCATTAGTTGGAATTTGTTACGTGATCTCTTTGATATGGCGAGGGCCGAGTGCCTCCGAATTATGTGGTCCAAGGGCCATTACACTTTCTTGGTCCATTTTTCATTCCTATTGTTAGTTCTCGTCTCGTCTTGAGAGGAATTTATCTAGAGAGGGGTCAATGGGCGGACAAGATCTGGAGTTGTTTCTGTTACGGTCGAGGCCACTTTGAACAGTTTGCTTCTTGTGAAGGTAAAAATGATGACAATTGCTCATGGGAGAGAATTTCATCGATTGTGTATTCAAAGAAGCAAAGTGATTGAAATGACATTTGCATGAGAATAAATGGGGTCGAAGCCATAGCTCCGGAGCTCTGGCCCTTAGGAGCAAAGGGGTTTCAAATCTTCCTGGCGGAAATAACGGTTGACAGTCGTATTCCGGTACGATGTGATGCATGTTGCTACTGGTTTCCTACCGACACATAGCTTTCTCCTCCTTGTGGCTCTTGCCCTTGGTGGCTCTTGCTATTGGTGAACGTCGATGACGAGGAGGTTCTTTCAAAATTTCTTGGCGGTACTGATGGAGAAGACAAGGAAGGCTTCGGTGGTATCGCCAAGAGTTCGAGGTTGCCTTCTAACATCTCTATCGCCTTTGAAATTGAGGGACGATCAGATGGCTTTGCTTGAATGCACCATATGCTCACGATGATCATCTTTCTCGCTATCTCTTCCTCCTCTTCTGTGGTAATCCCATCCAATTGTAGACCCTTGTCCGGGTCAAGATGCCTATATACCATGTCGGCGAAGTACATTTCGCTACCGTCCGGCTCTTGGTCATTGGAGTTATTCCTTGCGCCTATCATTCCCAGAACCAACATCCCATAGCTGTAAACGTCCGACTTGTGGGAGACTCCTCCAAAGTTCCTGGACATTACTTCCGGAGCGATGTATCCACATGTTCCTCTCGTGCCTAACATTGATACAATGCTCTCCTTCCCTTTGCACAGCTTAGCGAGGCCGAAATCTGAGATTTTCGGAGTGAAATCCTGGTCGAGTAAAATGTTCTGCGGTTTAATGTCAAGGTGCAAAATTCTTGTGCTGCACCCACGGTGCAGGTACTCGAGCCCTCGAGCGATGCCCATCGCAATTTGATACGAGATCTTCCATTCTAGGGGACAAGTAGTACTTGAACCTCCTTGACTAGGTAGAAACTTATCCAAAGACCCGTTTGGCATGTACTCGTATACCAAAGCTCTTTTCTTCTCTTGATAACAGAAACCCAGAAGAGCGACAATGTTGACGTGGGCAGTTCTGCTAATACTCATGACTTCATTGATGAATTCTTCTCCATTACCTTTGGACTCCTTAAGGATTTTCACTGCGATGAGCGGACCATCCTTTAGCTTTCCTTTATACACTGCACCAAAACCTCCTTGACCAAGTTTCTCTGAAAATGAGTTTGTCATTTTCTTCAGATCTATATATCGGTATCTTCTTGGAACAAGAGATCCATGGATTCCCATCAATATCTCAACATCTAGATCTTTCTCGCTCTTGAAGAGTGGAACCCTCCATGAGAAGATTCCCGTTTTAATCTTGAGGATGAAAATGATGGCAATTGCAGATATTGAAACACCAACTCCAGCTGTCCATTTCAACATTAAAATATATCAGCGATTTACCGCAGCCAGAGATACAAATTCAGTGATATCAAAGAGATGGGTTTACCTGCGACCGATATAAACCGCTTGGAGGATCCTGGAAAAGGAAAATCTATTATTTCCAGGGAAAACTATAGTTACAGGAATCTGATGCAATTTGTGTCTAAGAAATTTGGTGAAAATAAGAGGCATTGGCAACAGATAGGGACAACTGAATGGCAAATTCAATTTCTTGATAGTATAAAGACCCAATTGCTGTTGGATTGGTGCTCTTGATAGAAAATCTACTGGCTGTCTTACTTGTTAGTATTTTGCTTTGCAGTCTGAAGGTTTTTCCTGGATTAAGATAACTTACAAAAGGTTTGGTCACAGTAGAGTCTTCTCTGCTTTGTAGGCCTAAAACCATATTGATCATCTTATGACTTATGAGTGCAGTTTATTCTAACATTATAAATAAATCAAACAGTGAGAATGGACTTATGTATTTCGAACATCATTGAGCTTTTCAAAGTCCAGGCTTCCACTTCCAGTGGCCTAATGAATTTCTCAGCCGGAGATCAAACTAATGACCCAACGAAGAGTTAGAGCATGACATGCCTGAGCATGTATTGAGTAGGACTCATCTTGACAATAACACACAAAATTGCTAGACTTTGTATCCTGTCCGCACTGCCCACCTGAGTCAAGAGACTGTTGCAATCATCCCTCGCTGTCCACTGCAGACCAAAGCCTCATCAGGGGCTTGATATTACCTTTATGTTGGTCGGTGAGACTCTATCTGCTAAACTGCCGATTAATTCGCGGTCAGTACCACGCTCACATTGCACGCACCAACGTAGCCCATAATAGACGTGAGGTCGACACAAGCATAACTCGTCAAATCGCTAACTTTCCTCGTCAAAAAGTCATCGATCACGTTGGCGTCATTGATGGAGCAGTTAAACTGGCTGTTAACGGCCAGCAAAGCTTCAATTGGGCTTGCCTGGCAGCCGTACTACAGACTCAGGTTACTACTAGTCACGGTGTCCGTGGTGTAGGAGAAAGGGCTGATGATTTCTGGGTGGCACGTAGAAATATGTTGCGCAGATAGTGTTCCAAAAGCCTGTTCTAGCGAACTTCATCATTTGGGAGGTGTTAGCGACCCAAAGAACCCGATAAGCTCTGTTTGATATGGTGATCTGCACTGTCTTGCTAAGTAGCACCGACATGTAACATGCGACGCAACACGACACGACATGCTGACACGTCATTTCTCAAAAAATAGAGAATTCCGACATATTGGAACACGTTGTATATTAAATGTATGTTTTTATATATACGTGATAAATTATCATTTTTATGATTATTTCAATCAAATTAATTTGATTCAAATCCACAAATAAATAAATAATAAAAAAAGAGTGTCGGACGAGTGTTGGTGTCCGACATCAACATGGAGGCCTCCGGAGAGTGTCCGTGCTTCCTAACTGTCTTGTTGTCCTGACAAGTCAGCTCAAACTCAGGCAAGCTGCAGTGCGAGGTGCAGTTCAACCCCTAGAAGTCGTAAGTAATGTTTTGCAGGATGACACCGTATGATGTTGGAGCTAGGATCGGGATCCGGATTATGATAAAAAGCATCTGGAGAGATGCAAAAGGGGATGGTGATGGTGATGCATCTCTTTTGGGAGATGAAAATGGAAGCAGAGAAAATTAGTTTGGACTTGACACGGCCAAAAAGGAAGAGAAGGAAAGGTGATATGATTTCCAAGCTTGACTAGTAATCGATGATAGAAATTGGTGGATTTTGGTAAAGAGGGAAAGGAATCGTTCAAAAAGAATCTCGGTCTGAAAATTCTTAGATGCCGCTGCCGGTCAATTTGAATATGTGTGACTTGGTCTGACCTTGGTGTCTCTTTATCAAATTATAGACAAGTTTGAGTCTACCCTAAACTTTTTCTTGTGACGTCAAAAGCATAAACTTGTATCTATGTGACACATTCACCTTTCGTTAATATTTCATCAAATGATTTTCCAGCCAAAACGACATTTTTATTTCACTTGAGCCACTTGGCGCTATTCAACACCGTTTGCCTTTCGCCGTTCATGTAAGTGGATTTAATTACAACTGTGCTCTTTGACGGAACTTTGATGAAAGATAAATGTGTCACACAGGTACAAGTTTGAAAATTTTGGTGTCACGGAAAAACGTTCATGGTAAATGTGTCACGGTGGACATAGTTTGGAGTTTTTGGTGGTTTTTTTCCTTATTAAAAAGAAAGGGGATAAGTGTACCAAAAGTCCTAAAACTTATAATGAAAATGCGATTGAGTCCTAAGACTTTCAAAAATAACAATCAAGTCCTAAAACTTATTAAATTTGTGCAATCAAGTTTTTCCGTTAACTCCGTCCAACTTAGTCAACAAAAAAAAAACTAACATGGCTTTTTTTTTTTATTTTCTCTTTCCTACATGGCATTAACATTAGTAAAGCATAAGACTAAAAGGAAGGTGTCTTTGTCCAAATTCTAATTTTTTAGCCTAAATCTTAGATAAATTAGATTAAAAACATAAAAAAGGCTAATTTTTTTTTAGAAAAACACACAAAGAAAAGAAGAAAAAAAATGCACAAGTGAGGACCTATTGGCCTTCCCCTGTGAGGCACTACCGCCTCATCACCATCGAGAAAAATGGCTAGCGAGGGTCGTTGGCCCTCCCCTAGACTTAGCGCTCATCACCATCACGAAAAAAAAGGCTAATTTTTTTTTTTTTAGAAAAACACACAAAGAAAGGAAGAAAAAAGCCCACAAGTGAGGGCCTGTTGGCCTTCCCCTGTGAGGTGCTGCCGCCTCATCACCATCGCTAAAAATGGCTAGCAAGGGTCGTTGGCCCTCCCCTAGACTTGAGCCCTCACCCCAATGCCATCCATCCTCACCTAGATTTGTGTGAGGGTCACGACCCTCTCCTAGATATGGGCGGGAGCCATCGATCATCGCCAAGGACCCGGCAACCTCTGTCGGCCCTTTTTGGTAATGGGGCGACGGCCCACAGTTCTTTCTTTTTTTGTGTTTTTCTAAAGGGATATTTTAGCCTTTTAAAAAAAATCTAATTTAAGTGAGATTTGGGTTAAACAAAAAGAATGTAAACCAAAGCGACCTTGTTTTAGTCTTTTGATTAATGTGTTAGTGACGTTAACGTCACATAGGAAAGAGAAAATAATAATAAAGTCGTGTTAGTATTTTTCGTTAGTCAAGTTAGACTAAGTAAACAAAAGAACTTGATTGTATCAATTTGACAAATTGTATGACTTGACTACACTTTTTGAAAGTTTTATGACTCAATCACACTTTCGTGACAAATTTTATAACTTTTAATGCATTTATTTAAAAAGAAAAAGTGGCGTTCTGGATATTTTTGTAAAAATGGCATTCATGGTATATTTGTTGCATCAAGTTAGATCGGGTATTTACTACGATTTTGGTTATTTGAAATGACATAGTAAAGTGTCTCCTCAAATAGTTTATGAGTTGATAATTTGTGAAATAGTTTGAGAAATGCTATCCGAAATGTATTCTTCTTGATGGAGAGAATTACAAAGGTCCTAATATGTGAACCTGATTTATAAAATGAATTATGAAATGGTTTTGTGGCTGGTAGGGGAATTATGTATGGTTTTATTCTCTTGCCACTATGTGCTGAACTCGTTAAATGGTTGTGAGTATGCATCTTATTTTCAAGACGTACTGTTTAGGCTTAGCAACTGGCTTGTTGGGAACATATCCTTTGATGCTTTAAAGAAGACAAAATAATCAAATGCTACTAACGTGTGCATTTAATTATGTAGAATAGTTTGTAGATGCATAGACTAATATGTAGATGGAGCCTAGAACCGGGTGCATGAAGGCACGATAATGCTCTGCATCTACAGAAGAAGAACAAGATATTGGACGAGAAATATGTCTAAGGGTAGAAGAACCTTTGTGGAAGGTAAACAAGCTGTAGAATGAGGGTTTGTTAAAACTTGGATTGACCGGTAGATAGTGAACTTCATTGTAGAACATGAGGACGTTCATATGCCTAGTAGGACTAGTGTGTAGAAGGTGAACAGACGAAGAAGTGAGAAGCATGAAAAGTCTAAATGGAACCGAATGCAGCTTGGGAATAACAGATCAGTTAGTTTTGTGAAAGCATATTGGAAGGTTAGACAGACTACAGAAGCAGAGGACTCTATCTCCGCAAATACCCTATTTTGTCCTTAGACCGTCGTCTGATCATGCAGAACGCAAGTCTAATGATCACAGAAGGTACGCCAATGGCTTCTTTAACTCTAAGATATCTTCCATTGAATACTTTGAAGAATGGAGATCTATTTAAACTGATCAAAGGTGATAGTGAAGAGTGGTGAAAAATAAGAACTCTCATTCTCACTCTATCGCATCAATTTCTAGCTTTCACTTGTGCAAATTGGAGTGTTTTCTGATTGTAATTCTCTATTGAGGGCTGACTTCTTGTAATCAGGGAAAAGAGTGAGCTATAGTATTGTGAGAGGTGCTTGTGTTTAGAGAATCGTCTGTAGAGCTCTGTGTAGAAACGGCACTCTCTAAAAACTGTAAAATCTTGAAAATAACATAGTGGATTTCAGTATTGTTTGTGGCTATTAAAGCTGGGAGAATAGAGTAGGCCAACTGGAACATCGAACCACTATAATCCTATCTTACATTTTTTTTTTCCCTTAAACTCTTTAGTATCCGTTTGATAGAAAATACTGCTTACAAAAAACTTTTTTCCTCTACAATAGCACATTCCATACATCATTCTCGAAAAGGTTTTACTTTTACTAAACCAATCAATTCACCTCCACCCCCTCTTGGTTGTTGTGCTTAGTCATTTCACAGCTGATATAGGTGGAAACCTACGCCAACGGCAAATCTTGATAGGCATTGTCAAGGAGCGTTAAGCGTGGTCATAGTCAGACATTAACACTAAATTGATTGATGGATTGGACCACTGATTTTTGCTTTGATATTGTAATTGAATGAGTACTTCTAATTTGTATAAAGACTTGTTGAAGTGAGATAACTTATCTTTGATTTTGTAGATATATTATATACTAGATTTGAATAAATGTGTTTTTGATAATGTATAAAAATATGCATAATAAATACTTGATATGCTTAGAAGAGACTTGTAATACTCACTGAGTGGTGGTTTGCTTATACCATTCATCTCAATTCTTGTTTAGGTTCTACACCCACCAACAAATAGGAGGAGAGTGGGGATAAGGACACCACAAGTGTCATAACTTTTTTTTCGATCACTTAAGTGTCATAATTTCTAAAAAAACGTTCACTTGAGTGTCATAACTTTCAATCAATCACTTAATGCCAAAAATTTTTAAAAACGTTCATCTAAGTGCTAAAAATCCGACGTGGCATAGCACTTGTGATGAATATATAATAGAAGGTGCAAGGGCTGCCCCTCCTCAAAGTACCTCCAAGATGCATTACCGAAAATGTTGCTCTACATGAATTTTGCACGAGAAGCATACACAAGTAAAGACATTAGGTAGAAGAGCAAATAACCCTCCCCTGAAATCATAACAGCTCCGATTCATTCCTCAAACAAAGTATGATTCAATGGCTTTTATTTGGACCGAGTGCAAAGTGGTTTGTCTATTAGAATAGTCATAGTACCAACAACTCTGCTATAGTCATGTTTCACATACTTGAAAGGGACATTATTGGGAGGACTACTGGTATTTTCATTCTAGTCACTCAGCCAGATATTTGTTGAGCTAACCAGGGGATTTTTCATTGCCTTTCACTCTTGTTAGCCTACGATTTCCGAAGAAATTGACATTGCCCACATAAATTATGATAGAAGACGAGTCTAAATTAGATTGAATATGTAAAGCAAATAATTACAAATTAAATTGCAGAAAAACATACCTTTTGAACCAGGCTGCCCTGGAGGCCCTTCGGCAACAGAAGGCGCACATGTTGCCGACCCCGATGATCCATCCGCACAATAACAATTCGCCGTGTTCTTTGAGATGTCATAACCGCAGACACCTTTCGAATTAGCACACCCTTTACACGCTGCAGAATTCACGCCTAACCTGACCTCGAATCCTTGCTGCAATATATTCTCCATGCTCTCCGAGCCATTACCCAACTTGGGCAGTAGAGTCTGAGAGATGGGGATCACCACGCTCTTGAAGTGACTTCCTGTCTCTACAGGCCCGGGAGCCACACTACCGTTTGTCTTAGCAGTACCACTTATGGTGCACGAGAATTGTCTGGGAACATTCGGTGTTGACACATTCTGACAGCCGTAGATGAATGTGGAGTTGACGTAGCCGTTGACTATGCTGAAGAGCGCAGGGTCGAGAGTGGTGTTACTGAAGTCATGGGAGCAGATTCCGGTGGAGAGATCTTCCCGGGCGATTTGTAGGATCTCGGTGTCGGGCTTGACACCGAGAACCTTGTATTTGACATTGGATATCACGATAGTGGCAGTGTTATTCTCGCAAGCAAGTTCTAGCGCCGGGTAGCCGCAGCTGCTGGATCGGCTCCCACCCCAAAAAGGGTAGCCAACGCCTTGGATGTTCCCGCAGCTGAACAGGCTGCTGCAATTCGAGTACAAGGCATCGCTGCCCTGCGATTGAGTCGTATTGATCATCAAGACCAAAAACATGGCACATAACAGAAGAAGAAGACGTGTATTCATCCTGTTGGAAGACGGATTTCCTTGTTGTTTCGAGCAAACAGAAAGGCAGGCTCAAGAAACATGGGTTGTGAGCGATGATGAATCATTGAAGTGGAAGATGGGTTTGGAAGATCAAAACTCGCTCGGGAAGACTCGAAAAATGGGGAGTCTTTGTTGACTTATTACGTCGCTGGGCCTAATCTGTGACCGAGTGAAATGCTATAACTTGGGAAACTTCTCGTGGTCCTGACCACTAAATTGGAATTAAATGCTTTCTTTGTTTTTCAAAAAATAAATGATTAAAAAAATATTTTTTAAAAGGTAATTGCTTGTACTGATTGAAATAATTAATGAATAAAAATTATTTTATTGATCAATAACAATTTATGTCTAAAAATTTCCGTGGATAATGAAAATATATTTCTTTCTCTCGTTTTTGTAAACGATGCAAATGATCATTTTTAGAAAAAAAGTTTTTCAAATCATTTATATTTCGCAAAACAGACGGAGCTTAACTAATAAGCAAAGCCATTTCGCATGCTTGTGTCTGAACCGACATCAAGTAGTCACACCCAACCCCGCCCACCTAATCTATAAGGCAATGGAGCTTTTGTGCCCCTCTCTATTACTATAGAATATGGAGAACAGAGATGATCGATGAACGGGCTTAAGTCTAATCAGAAGGGGATAAATTTTGCCAAATTCATGATTGGGTCTATAAAGACATCACAAATGACCAAAAAAGTTGAAGGAAATTTCAATCTGAAAACAGACATTTCCCCTATTGCAGTCAAAGATGGAAGAGATTATGAAGGAAAGTTGAGCCGAATCGACGTGCATGTATTTCGCGAGATTAGCGGTGGGAAAGGGATCGGATGTTTCCACGTCTCATCGTGGTGCCCGATTTGTCTCGATTTCCGAAAGGTGAACAACAAGGAAAATTCAACTCTTGCATGTTTTTGGAAAATGAAGCGTGTTGACTCCTTTATTGATTGGCAGTGACGTTTACGTTGTGGTATGACAGTCGAGCTACCACAGTTGAACTATTTATGAAAGACGCGTTATGGCGACTTTTGTTGACTTCTGTTGCGAAACTATGCGAGGATGATCTTGGCTAATAGACAAGTAAGCCATAAATAAAGAACATAATTACAAACCGATGTGTCATGCAGTTACCATTCGTTTCACTGAAATGAAAACCATTTTCAAGGGACTGGTTAATTTAATGAAAGTGATTTCATTCCTACTAGAAATGGAAGTCATTTTTCTCCGATTTAAGCTTATTGTTTTCGGTTCAAGGAAAATGTTTTCTGCAGATTGAATAGTTTTTCATCGTTAAAAAACCGGAAAATTTCAAAATAATTTCACAAAAACTGTTTTCCTTTAAACAAATGGACCTTTCATTTTATAAAAGTTTAATTGGCCCACAATAGGAAAAGATTCATCAATGTTAAAATTATTCTCGACAGAGAAAGAGAATGTTGCTTGTGTGTGCATGCTAGAAATACATGATCGAGATATAATGTGAGAATATGACTAAGTCAAAATCATAAAAGCATTAAAGTTTTTTTTTGCGAAATTGGTTGAGCCAATTAGAGGTGATCAGTCCCGGTAAGGAGCAGTCCCACCCAAGACCCAGGAACCGGACTAGGAGGACCAATTCCCTGTTTCTGGAATCAGAACAGTACCACCTGGTCTTGGAACCAGACCGACCCGGTCGGTCCTTTGGTGGTCCAATGGAATCGATGGACGCCGAGCTTGTCAGCCAAGCCGAGGATCCAGGCGAGGAAATGGGCTTTAGAGGCCCAAAGCTCAACGTGAATGATCTACTAACACCACCGGCGCCGTAGAAGTTGCTGAAGAAGAAAAGGAAGAGGAAATGGAGAGACTCAGTCCTGGAGATAATTTGAACCGCGTCTTGGACTGACCTTAATATGCATACTGGCGCATCAACGAGCACGGATGATGCTAGAGAGACGGAGACACGCGATTTGCGAATGTCATATTCAGACGTCTCGATCTGAATAAGAGTCCATTACAGTCATATATTAATTAAACAACATTCAGCTCTAGCGGCCAAAAAACAAAGAAATAGGAAACAAATTGGATTATTGGGAGGTGGAATTCAACTGGGCTAAATCTCAAAGTATACAACTATGCAGTTGTTAAATTTTAAGGTCAGCTGGCGTTGATGCCACTTGCCATATACGGAAGGTCGTTTGGTTTCCGTTGAAGACGTGATTAAGTTCATTAGTGTGTGTTAAATGATGTCAGTATCAGTCTTTCTACAAAGAAGAGCATAAAGAACTATATCCGAGAAGTAAAAGCAGATCAGTACAGATTTGGAAATCTTGCAAATAGTTTGATTAATATGCCATATACCTAGTCTGAAGCCCGAACAATTTGATAGACAATTTAATTTTCAACAAAATGAAAAGCATTAAGTACAAGAGAACGTGAAAGTGTGGCAACTCGAACCTAGAGGCCAGGCATAAGCGAGAAAGACCACCGGGATTTTCAGTTGATCAGTCCTCGGAGTTTAACAAAAATGCCGCTCATCTCGTTGGTCATGTTATACATTCATAGAATATTAATCTACATGATGGTGGAGGAGTAACATTGCTGGGAACCATTTCTGTGTGAGTTCTATGAGAGATGACACTGATCTTCCAAGTTCCAAGTGTGCTTTCCAACAGCCTTCAGAGAGCATTTGATCTACTAAGTTGAAATTCTCATATCTTCTTGCTAATTGCTATGATTCTCCAAGTGAAATCCTCCTAACTGTTCTCTCCACTTTCACTGTAACTCTAATAATAACATATTCCATCTAAAGAAAGGCATGACAATTACCTCAAGAAGTTCAGTCGTGCATTACCACTTTACCGTGTGTTACTGCTTTCCTCTAAATTCTCTAGTATTCCCTCCTCGAGGCTCCCATTGGAAATTGACGCCATCACTTCCCAATGTTGCGAAGGTGGTAGTGTTGGAGAACACAAGATGGGCTTTGGCGGCATTCGCAGTGATTCAACGCTTCCTTCCAACATTTCTATCACCTTCACAATTGGAGGTCGATCAGATGGACTGGTTTGAATGCAACACATACTCACAATAATCATCTTCCTCGCTAGCACTTCCTCCTCCTCTGTCACATTCATTGGCAATTTCATATCTTTGCCAGGCTCTAAGTTTCTATAAATCCAATCTGGAAAGTACATATCACTGCTGTCGGAAACTTTGATGTCAGAATTTCTAAAGCCTACCATTTCAAGAACCAACATTCCGTAACTGTAAACATCGGACTTGTGAGAGACTCTCCCCAAGTTACGAAAAACAACTTCTGGTGCAATAAACCCAACCGTTCCTCTCATGCCGAGAGTTGATACAGCACTGTCTTTCCCATGACAAAGTTTTGCAAGGCCAAAATCTGAAATCTTGGGGATAAAATCTTGATCGAGCAAGATGTTCTGAGGTTTTATATCGAAATGCAAGATTCTGGTATTACAGCCTCGGTGCAGATACTCTAGCCCACGAGCAATGCCAATCGCAATTTGATATAGAATCTTCCATTCCAAGGAACTACTCATATTTAATGTTCTTCCAGAGGGTATGAACTTATCCAATGAACCATTAGGCATGTACTCGAATATTAGAGCTCGTTTGTTCCCTTCGTAACAAAAGCCTAAAAGAGTGATCACATTAATGTGAGAAGTTCTACTAATGCTCACGACTTCATTGATAAATTCGTCTGAGCTACTTTTCGACTCTGTTAGAATTTTCACTGCCACAAGACTACCATCACCGATCTTCCCTTTATACACTACACCAAATCCTCCTTGACCAAGTTTCTCTGAAAATGAGTTTGTCATTTTCTTCAGATCAATATAATGGTATCTTCTTGGAACAAGAGATCCGTGAATTCTCATCAATTTCTCAACATTGCGATCTTTCTCGTTCTTGAAGAGTAGAACCTTCCATGAGAAGATTTCATTTTTACTCTTGCGGAGGAAAATGATGGCAATTGCAGATACTGATACACCAATAGCAAGAGCTCCACCTGTCCTTTTCAATCGCCAAAGAGATATCAGTGATTGGCCGAAGCAAGGGATACAAATTCAGTGATGTCAAAGAGATGTTTACCTGCGAAAAATTTAGTCCGCCTGTTGAATCCTGGAAAGGTAAATCTATTAATTTAGAGATGTTACAGGAATCTGATGCAAATTATATCTAAGAAGTTTGGTGAAACTCTTTTAGTGCTTCAGTAAAAATATTAATTATGTCTTACGCATGTATCAAACACTCAGTTCAGCAAAATAAGAGGCAGTGGCAACAGAGATGGACAACTACATGGTGAATTAAATTTCTAGATAGTATAAAGATCCAATTGCTGTTGGATTGGTGTTCTTTATAAGAAATCTACTGGCTGTCTGACTGGTTAGTGTTTTGTTTTTCAGTCTGCACGTTTTTCCTGGATTACGGTAACTTATGGATAGAAGGTTTGGTCACAGTAGAGCCTTCTCAGCATCGTAGGCCCAAAACCTTATTGATCATTATATGACCTAGGAGCACAGTTTATTTTAGCATTATGAATACATCAAACCGTGAGAATGGACTTAATGTATTACACTGAATCTCTTTAGGATTTTCATGATTTTCCCATCATGATGATCATATTTCCATGAACAATTTAGTCAGTAACCCGCAGGCTATCTTTGACTGCCGAAGAGTGACTCTTGAAGCCTTGCAAGTCAAGATCACGGGACAGAACAAAGAAGGAAGAGAAGAGTTTAGAACACTGGACGAGGGAGTAACGAAAATGTTGACAACTCCAAGACCTTGAAAGGCTAGTATTGCATTTTTCGGAGTGAATATATGGACCCCTGTCTTAGTACCTTCACACAAGTGTCATGCGGGCTTAGGAATTTCTACCCAAGTCAGCCTTTTTAACCACACTCACAAGGATTCTAGAATGAGAAACTCTTCGAGAGAAGTTTTGAATTTTCTATTACTTGTGAGTGATACAAATGAGGGGGAGGGAACCCTGCATATACAAGTACATCCCTAATCACAACCATAGTTCTTTATTGAATCTAATGGTATAGGTTTTATCTCCACATGTACCAACTACCCGCATAAATTACATGAACACTCCATAATAGTGTACATATCCCATATTGCTCGCCCTTAGGAATATTCTAGATTACATAAGAAACCCAAGGACTTTAAGACTCGCTTGGTCTTCTTGGATGAACCTCGGTCCTTAGTGCATTGAAAACCTCTGCACCGTGACACAAGGTCATAACCTTAAAGCATGTGAAATTTTAACATGCTTTTTTGTCTGGTGGTGATAGCGGTGGCGATAGCTATACCACTTTAAGCTCCTTTGGCAGAGTCAAGTTATCATGGCAACTGTAATGAAATTAGCTTTTGCTCTCACTATATCGCCATACTAAAGCAGACGTGAATAAGTGTAGAAGTGAATCTAATGTCATGGTGATCTAACTTCTTAGGAGCTGCCTAGTAATCTTTGGGTATTTGCTTGTTAGGGCTGATGTGGCCACCACGTAAGCACCACCTGACGAGTGACGACCACCTTGGCCATTGCACATCAATAGTTGCATTAAGTCTTATATATGACAGGGATGGTCTGGTTGGTTTTTTGAAATGGGGGAGTGTCCGGGGTAATTTCGCCAAAACTCAACGGTGTCTGAGGAATTGCCTAGTATCAACGTGATGTGGGATTCCCTTTAACAGTAAGCAACATTATTGTTGGCATCATGCATGGAGCAAGTGATGGGTTGAAGAACTTCAATTGGCCAATAAGAGGAAGGTTCAATCATAGAGCTCTTGATGCAAACTTGACGCTGGTTATAACTAATAAAATTATGTCTCGAGTTTGACCCCGAAAAAAAAAGTTTCCTAATTTAAGTAGGCTTCCTATTTTGAATGGGTTTCCTAATTGAATGGTTTCTTAGTTGGAGAAGGTTTCCTAAAAAGAGGTTTCATAATTTGAATCATACTCTTGTCTATATATAAGAAATGAAGAGTATCAAAGAGGAGTTTCTGCTAGTGAATTACACTTTGAAGATATCCGAGTGTTTGTAGCGATTAAATATTGGGTAAGATTTGTGTATAATTCCTTCGTGAGATTGAGAGATTATTTCATGAGAAATTGTGGGGCTAAACATTGCGTGAGTTATTGGGTATAATTGGGGTTTCGAAAACACTTAGAGTGTTTGAGTGACTCGAGCGTGGTTGTAATATCTGTTGTATCACTTGAATTATAGTGGAATTCATTCCTACTCTTCCCGTGAATGTAAGTCAATACGACTGAACCGCGTAAATCTGGTATCCGATTTATTTTCTTGTTGTGTCTATTTTGCTGTTCAATCACTTGCTTCCGCAACAACTGGTATCAGAGGTAGGCTTGGTTGAGTTGAAGCAAATCGATGACGATAGAAGGAGGAAAAGTGAGAGTCGACATATTTGAAGGGAATGACTTTGATTTTTAGAAGATGCAAATTGAGGATTATCTCTATAAGATAAAACTGTATTTGCCCCTATCTGGGGAGAAGTCAGAGACGATGAAGCAAGTTGACTAGTAATTGCTGGATAGACGAGCTTTGAGTGTTATTCGGTTGACGTTCACTCGTAACGTTGCATTTAACATCGTGAAAGAGAAGACCACTGTGGGTTTAATGAAAGCCTTGTCAAACATGTACGAGAAGCCATATGCGATCAACAATGTCTATTTGATGTGACGTCTATTTAACTTGAAGATGAGCGAAAGTGCGTCAGTTGCTGATTATATTAATGAATTCAATGTAATCATTAGTCAATTGAGTTCAGTTGAGATTGACTTTGAAGATGAGATACGTGCTTTGATTATATTATCCTCGTTGCTTGATAGTTGGAATACTACTGCTACTGCTGTTAATAATTTCTCAGGATCAACAAGCTTGACGTTTGATGGGGTTCAAGATTTAATTTTAAGTGATGACATCTGTAGAAGAGAATCTGGTGAACGTGTATCTACTGCTTTAGTAGGTGAAAGAAGAGGAAGAACCGGTACTCGTGCTAGCAAAAGTGGTATGAACATGAATAGACAAAGTCAGTCTAGGATTGGCGGTGCTATCTGTTGGAGTTGTGGCAAGAGTGAGCATCTTAGAATGGATTGCTTTAAGCTGAAAAACGATAAGGGTAAGGGAATTAGAGTTGAGTCTGCAGATGATATTGCAGCAGATAGTAATTCGGATAATGCTGATTTTGTCTAGTTTGTCATGGCGGATGGATTATGAATTCCAGTTGTTCTTTTCACACTACACTAAACATGAACTGGTTTACTACTTATCAGTGCACGGATAATAGTAAAATACATTTGGGGAACAACTCTGAGTACAATGTTAAAGGTGTTGGTGATGTTAGAATCAAAATGCATGATGGTATTGTGAGGACATTGACTAGAGTGGGGCATGTTCTAGAGTTGAAGAAAAATTTGATTTCCTTGAGTGCCCTGGATTCAGCTGGGTATCGGTATACTTCAGAATGTGGAATTCTGAAAATCATTCAAGGTGCCTTGGTGATAATGAAAGAAATCAAGCACAATGACCTGTATGAACTTCAAGGTGAGATAGTAACGTAATTCGCTGCGGAGACGTTGGAGGCATCTGTTCGAGAGTCTGAATTGTAGTATATGCGTTTGGGGCACATTAGTGAGAGAAGTTTGAAGGTTCTAAGAGAAAGGAATTTACTACGTGATTATATGGCTAATGAACTGAATGTATGCAAGCGTTGTGATTTAGATCAACGGCAGAAAGTACAGTTTAGTATGGCTGTCAAAGAAATCACGGATATTGCAGAATTAATTCACTTAGATGTTCGTAGGCTGTCGCGATTTCCTTCGAGAAAGAGTGCCAGATTTATGCTAACAATTGTTAACAACTACTCGAGGAAGACGTGAGTATTTGTACTTAGGCACAAGTTTGATGCTATTGTCATGATCAAACAGTTAAAAGTTTTGATTGAAAATGAGACTAATAAGACGATCAAGTATGTGCGGACTGACAATAGTATAGAGTTCTGCTTGAAGCTATTAAACGAATTATGCATGAAGGAAGGCATAGTGAGACACCGCACTAATGCCAATGAACCACAACATGTTGCAGAGCTGATAAGCAAAACATTACTAGAGACGGCCCATAAAATGCTCTCTAATGTTGGTATGGTTAGGAGATTTCTAACATATGCGCTTAGTACGGCGAGCTATTTGAAGAATAGATCCTCATTGACTGCGATTGGATGTCGGACTCCCGAAAAGGTGTGGTCAGGTAACATTACTTATTATTCTATTCTTAGAATATTTGGTTTCTCATGATATGTTCGAGTTAGTGATGGTAAGCTCGATAAAAGGGTAAGAAAGTGCACGTTCCTAGGTTATGCATAAAGTAAGCGGGGTTATTGGTTGTGGTGTTTGGAATTAAATTCACTTGTTATCAGCAGAGAAGTTACAGTTGACGAGTCTTCAGTACTTATGGGTAGGAGTGTTAATAGTAGTGTAAATACGGATCTGAATGGTGTTCAGCTTGAGATAGAGTTGCAACTAGAAACTCCCAAGGTAGCGGTTACTAGCGAAGTCATTAACATGGTTGGTGCTTGTAGTGCGGCAGAGCCTATTAAGTCAACAGTTGTTGTAACTGCTGATATTGATAAGGTGCATATTCAATTTCTTGATAGATATGAATGCGATGATGGTTTTGCTTTATCTGCGATTGAAGAGGTTGTGTCGGAAAATAATTGCGGAGTAATTAAAGGTGCATGTATAGTTGGTATTCTAACAAAGCCCACGGTTGTAGCGAAATTCAAGCACAGCTTGGACTTGAAAGATATTTGTGGCGATTGAGCCCATTAGGGGCTGTGGAAAGTAGAAGTGGAGTTCAGAATTTCTGACGAAGCGATTGTGACTTGGCTCAAACGTCGAGCCAAGATAAAGATTGTTAAAATTATGTCTGGAGTTTGAGTCCAAAAAGGAAAGTTTCCTAATTCAAGTAGATTTTCTATTTTGAACGGGTTTTCTAGGTTTCCTAGTTGGAGAAGGTTTCCTAAAAAGAGATTTCCTAAAAAGAGGTTTCATATTTTGAATCATACTTTTGTCAATATATAAGAAGTGTGACTTCTTATAAAGAGTATCAAAGATGAGTTTCTCCTAGCGAATTACATTATAAAGATATCCGAGTGTTTCTAGCAATTAAATCTTGTGGTGAGATTTGCGTATAATTCTTTCGTGAGATTGAGAAATTATTTCGTGAAGAATTGTAAGTCTAAATACTGCATGAATTATTGGATATAATTGGAGCTTTGGAAACACTTAGAGTGTTTGAGTAACTCGAGTTTAATTGTAATTTTCGTTGTATCGTTTGATCTATAGTGGAATTCGTTGCTGCTCTTCCTGTGGACGGAGGTTACTACGACCGAACCACATAAATCTGATGTCCGATTTATTTTTTTATTTTGTCAAATTTATTGTTCTATTGCTCTACAACAATGACCGAGTAAGCTATTGGAGTGTGGAGCTAAATGATGCTTCCTTTGATATCCTGCCACTGCATAGCGTCAGAAAGCTGAGAAGAAATATTAGAGGATAAACTTATATAATGCACTGAACAGGTGATTTATGCGCGCGAAGTGAGGCTTTGGTGCATAAACATTTACAAGTCCTTCAGATTTTGGATAAAGGTAGGAGGTCGATGATCTAAAGTGCCTTTATTTTCTCCCCAACAATGAGAGCTTCACAAACTCCACTTCAATTCTGGTAATGGCTTGCTTAGCTGTGCTATATGCTGAGAACTAACCAGTACATTCAAGGAATGGCTTCTCTGGAATGACTAAACTCATTGAGTTCAAAGTGAAGGAAACTTACGCATGAGAAATTTAGCGGAACGGGAATGGACAGGCTTTGAAGCTGTTGGTGCTTGGCAGTATTTAGTCCACTGAAAGCTCCTTTTGGATTTTCTGGAGCATCGGCCATCCAAAAAGTTTGATTAAGCAAGCTTAGTTAAGGCTTGCTTACTTATTTTCCACCGCCAGATCAAATTGGATCACCGGTAGAATATTCACTTATTATCGTGATGAAAGACAAGATAAGGTCCTTTTCACTGATGCTAATATCGGTCTTGCCATTTTCAACTTGGCCATTTGAAGGTGAATGGCCAAAGATGTTACTGAAAGGACTAAAGTTCCCTCTGTGCTTGTGCCATAGAAAATTGTCAGAATAGGTAAGAAGCTCTAAGAAAATTCATCAATTAGGAAAATAGTAACATTCAATCCCATCTCAGTGAACAGATTAACATGCTCTGAGAAAGTGGGGGGATCATGTTACACGACGAACTCATCGTGCCTCTACAAAAGTGGAAGAATATAAAATAGAAGGTGCAAGGGCTGCCTCGCCTCAAAGTACCTCCAAGATGCATTACCGAAAAGTGGTTTGTCTATCAGAAAAGTCTTAGTACTAACAACTCTGCTACAGTCACGGTTTAACATACTTGAAAGGGACATTATTGGGAGGACTAATGGTGCAATTTTCATTCTAGTCACCATGGAAGGTGACGTTCAGCCAGATATTTGTTGAGATAACCAGGGGATTTTTCACCGATAAAAAAAACCAGGGGATTTTTCATTGTCTTACATTCTTGTTAGCCTAGGATTTCCGAAGAAATTAACAATGCCCACATAAATTATGATAGAAGACAAGTCTAAATTAGATTGAATAAGTAAAGCAAATAATTAGGAATTAAATTGCAGGAAAGCGTACCTTTTGAAACAGGCTGCCCTTGAGGCCCTCCGGCAGCAGACGACGCACATGTTGCCGACCCCGATGATCCATCGGTGCAATAACAGGCCGTTGCATTCTTTGAGATGTCATAACCGCAGACGCCTTTCGTATTAGCACACCCTTTACACGCTGCAGAATCCACTCCTAACCTGACCTCGAATCCTTGCTGCAATAGATTCTCCAAGCTAGTCGAGTTATTAGCCAGCTGGGGCAATAGAGTCTGAGAGATGGGGACCACCACGCTCTTGTAGCAACTTCCTGGCCCTACAGCCACCCCAGGAATCACATAACCGTTTTTAGAAGCAGTACCTCTTATGGTGCACGAGAACGGGCTGGTCGTTTGCCCATTCGGACAGCCGTAGACGATTGTGGAGTTGACGTAGCCGATGACCATGCTGAAGAGTGCAGGGTCGAGAGTGGTGTTAGTGAAGTCAGGGGAGCAGATTCCAGAGGAGAAATCATCCCGGGCGATCTGTAGGACCTTGGGTTCGGGGTAGAAACCGAGAACCTTGTACTTGACTTTGGATATCTTGATAGTGGCAGCGTTATCCTCGCAAGCAAGTTGTAGCGCCGGGTAGCCGCAGCCGTTGGATCGGTTCCCGCCCCAAAAAGGGTAGCCGACGCCTTGGATGTTCCCACAGCTGAACAGGTTGCTGCAATTCGAGTACAAGGCATCATTGCCCTGCGATTGAGTCATATTGATCATCAAGACCAAGAACATGGCACATAACAGAAGAAGAAGACGTGTATTCATTCTGGTGGAAGACGGATTTCCTGAACAGTTGGATGGAGTGGGGATGTGGTTGTTGTTGTTTCAGCAAACGGATAGGCAGGCTCAGGGAAGATGGGTTGTGGGCGATGATGAATCACTGAAGCGGAAGATGGGCTTGGAAGATAAAAAAACTAGTTCGGGAAGACTTGCAAAATGGGGGAGTCTTTGTTGACTTTATTTGGTCGCTGGGCCTAATCAGTGACCGAGTGAAATGGTCTAAACTTGGGAAACTTCCCGAGGACTAACTCCTAAACTGGGATTAAAGGATCCGTTTGTTTCGAAAAAATAAATCATCTAAAATATATTTTTCTAAAAAATCGTTCATATTGCTTGAAAAAATTAATCAATAAAAATTATTTTTTCATCAATAATAATTTATATTTAAATATTTTTATTAACAATGAAAATATTTTTTGTTCTCTCATTTTTGTAAATGACAAAAGCCCCACCCCACCTCACCCAATCTATATGGCAATGTAGCTTTTATGCCCCCTATCTATTAGCATGGAATACGAAGAACAGAGATGATCGATGAACGGGCTTGGGCCTAATAAGAAGGGGATAAATTTCGCCAAATCCACAATCTAGCTTACAAAGACATCACAATTGACCAAAATTTCGAGGAAATTTCAATCTGGAAACAAATTATTCCATAATTGCAGTCAAAGATGGAAGAGACTATGAAAAGATGAGTTGAATCGATATGGATGTGTTTCACGAGAGCAGAGGAAACTCCTTCGTGGTGGGAAAGGGATCGGGTGTTCCGTCTCATCTTAGTTCCCGGTTTGTCTGGATTTTCGATGGATGAATAAGAAGGAAAATGCAACTCTTGGATTTTAAAGAAAATGAAGCATGTCGACTTTTTTTTGGCAGTAACGTTTACGTCGTGGTATGAACAGTGGATCTATGAATGAAAGACACGTGTCATGATGACTTTTCTTGGCATTTGTTGTGCGAGGATGATCTTGGCTAATAGACAAGGAAGCCATAAATAGAGAACATAATTTCAAACCGATGTGTCATGCAGTTAGTTATGATGCGTTTGTTTCACTAAAAATCTCATGATATACAAATTTTTTTAATGAAAATCATTTTCAAGGAACTGGTTTGTTTTCATTTGTCCTTCGTGAATTTTGTTTATGGAATTACACCAAGAATTTATGTGTTAAAGAGATTAAATCTTGTGGTAAGATTTGTTTAATTCCTGTGTGAGATTAAGAGATTGTTTCATGAGGAATTGTGGACCTAAACACTGTGTGAGTTATCGAGTCTAATTGGAGCTTGGGTAACTTGAGTATAATTGTAATCTCCATTGTATCGATTGATTTATAGTAGAATTCTTTGCTGCTCTCCTTGTCCGAACAACATAAATCTGGCATTCAGTTTATTTTCTTGTTCTTTCGATTTTGCTGTTCGATAGCTTGCTTTCGCAACAGTGCAAGTCGTCGATAGATGACGAGAGCGACATCGAATAGGAACGTTCATTCTGATTTGAATTTTATGAGGGCAAACTGGAAAATGAAACTAATAGTTAGGGTAATTTTGAAAGAAAAAGTTTATAAACCTTAAAACTTGCCTTCCGAAAATGCTGAAAGCTTAAGGTAAATCTCAATGCTACCATTTCCCTAAAGTGTTCCAAAAAATTGCTAAACTCCCTAAATTTTTCCCAATGGGCTTTAGAGGCCCAAAGCTCAACGTGAATAATCTACTAACACCGCTGCCGCCACAGAAGATGTTGAAGAAGAAGAGGAAGAGGAAATGGAGAGAGTCAGTCCTGGAGAGGATTTGAACCGCGTCTTGGACTAACCTTAATATGCATACTGGAGCATCAACGAGTACAGATGGTGCTAGAGACACGGAGACTCGCGATTTGCGAATGTCATATTCAGACGTCTCGATCTCAATAAAAGTCTATTACACTGTCATATATTAATTAAATAACATTCACCTCTAGCGGACAAAAAAACAAAGAAATAGCAAACAAATTGTATTATTGGGAGGTGGAATTCAACTGGGCTAAATCTCAAAGTATACAACTATGCAGTTGTTAAATTTTAAGGTCGGCTGGCTTTGATGCCATTTGCCATATACGGAAGGTCGTTTGGTTTCCGTTGAAGACGTGATTTAAGTTCATTCGTGCGTGTTAAATGACGTCAGTATCAGTCTTTCTGCAAAGAAGAGCATAAAGAACTACATCTGAGAAGCAAAAGCAGATTAGTACAGATTTGGAAATCTTGCGAGTAGTTTGATTAATATACCATATACTTAGTCTGAAGCCTGAACAATTTGATGGACGATTTAATTTTCAACAAAATGAAAAGCGTTAAGTACCAGAGAACACGAAAGTGTGGCAACTCGAACATAGAGGCTAGGCATAAGCAAGAAAGACCACCAGGATTTTCAGTTGAGCAGTCCTTGGAGTTTAACAAAAATGCCGCCCATCTCATAGGTCATGTTATACATTCATAGAGGGAAAAGTGTCAAAAAAGTCCTAAACCTTTTTTTAGTGCCAATTAAGTCATAAACCTTTCGCATTGGTGCCAATTAAGTCATAAACCTTTTTTTGATGCCAATTCAATCCTAAACCTTTTGCATTGATGCCAATTCAGTCCTAAACCTTTTGCATTTATGCCAATTCAGTCCTAAACCTTTTGCATTTATGCCAATTCAGTCCTAAACCTTTTGCATTTATGCCAATTCAGTCCTAAACCTTTCGCATTTGTGCCAATTCAGTCCTAAACCTTTTTTTGGTGCCAATTAAGTTTTAAACCTTTTGCACTGATGCCAATTCAGTCCTAAACCTTTTGCATTTCTACCAATTTAGTCCCAAACCTTTTTTTGGCGCCAATTCAGTCCTAAACCCTTTGCATTTGTGCCAATTCAGTCCTTCGACACGTGAATAGCTATTAGCCGGAAAGACTAAATTGGCACCAATGCAAAAGGTTTAAAACTATCCAATGTAAAAGGTTTAGGACCGAATTGGCACCAAAAAAAGGTTTAGGATTGAATTGACACAATTGCAAAAAGGTTTAGGACTGAATTGACACAAATGCAAAAGATTTAAGACTGAATTGACACCAAAAAAAGGTTTATGACTAAATTGATACAAATGCAAAAGGTTTTTAACTGAATTAGCACAAAAAAAAGGTTTAGGACTAAATTGGTACTAATGCAAAAGGTTTAGAACTTTTTTGACACTTTTCTTCTTTCATAGAATATCAATCTATGTAATGGTGGAAGAGTAACATTGCTGGGAACCATTTCTGTGTGAGTTCAATGAGAGATGACACTGATCTTCCAAGTTACACGTGTGATTACATACAGCCTTCAGAGAGCATTTGATCTACCAATTTGAAATTCTCATATCATTCTTGCGAATTGCTATGATTCTCAGTTAAATCCGCCTAACTGTTCTCTCCACTTTCACTGTAACTCTTAAGAAAAACATATTCCATCTAAAGAAAGGCATGACAATTACCTCAAGAAGTACAGTCGTGCATTACCACTTTACAATGTGTTACTGCTTTCCTCTGAATTCTCTAGTATTGTCTCCTCGAGGCTTCTATCGGAATTCAACGCCATCATTTCCCAATGTTGCAATGGTGGTTGTGTTGGAGAATACAAGATGGGCTTTGGCGGCATTTGCAGTGAATCAAAATTTCCTTCCAGCATTTCTATCACTTTCACAATTGGAGGTCGGTCAGATGGACTGGTTTGAATGCACCACAAACTCACAATCATCATCTTCTTCACTAGCACTTCCTCCTCCTCTGTCGCATTCATCGGCAATTTTAGATCTTTGCCAGGCTCTAAGCTCCTATAAATCCATTCTGGAAAGTACATTTCACTCTCGTTGGAAACTTCCATGTCGGAATTTCTGAAGCCTACCATTTCAAGAACCAACATTCCATAACTATAAACATCAGACTTGTGAGAGACTCTCCCCAAGTTTCGGAAAACAACTTCTGGTGCAATAAACCCAACAGTTCCTCTCATGCCGAGAGTTGATACGGCACTCTCTTGCCCATGACAAAGTTTAGCAAGGCCAAAATCCGAAATCTTGGGGATAAAATCTACATCAAGCAAGATGTTTTGAGGTTTTATATCGAAATGCAAGATTCTGGTATTGCAGCCTCGGTGCAGATACTCTAGCCCATGAGCAATGCCAATTGCAATTTGATATAGTATCTTCCATTCCAAGGAACTACTCATATGTAAAGCTCTTCCAAAATATATGAACTTATCCAATGAACCATTAGGCATGTAATCGAATATTAGAGCTCTTTTCTTCCCTTCGTAACAAAAACCTAAAAGAGTTATCACATTAACGTGAGAAGTTCTACTAATGCTGACCACTTCATTGATAAATTCTTCTGGGCTACTTTTTGACTCTAAGAGAATTTTCACTGCCACGAGACAACCATCTCTCATCTGCCCTTTATACACTGCACCAAATCCTCCTTGACCGAGTTTCTCTGAAAATGAGTTTGTCATTTTCTTCAGATCAATATATCGGTATCTTCTTGGAACAAGAGATCCATGGATTCCCATCAATTTCTCAACATCACGATCTTTCTCACTGTGGAAGAGTAGAACCTTCCAAGAGAAGATTCCAGTTTTAATCTTGAGGACGAAAATGATGGCAATTGCAGATACTGAAACACCAATAATAACAAGAACTCCAGCTGTCCTTTTCAGCCATTGAAATATATCAGCGATTTACCCAAGTCAGAGATACAAATTCAGTGATAAATAAGAGATGGTTTACCTGGGGACGATATAAGCCGCGTCTTGGATCCTGGAAAAGGAAAATCTATTAGTTCCCTGGTTGACTACCGTTACAGGAATCCGACGCAAATTTATCTTAAGAAATTTGGTGAAACTCTTTTTTTTTTTTTTTTTTGATTTTAGTGCTTCAGTAAAAACATAATCACGTCGTTTATCTCAACAGATGGACCTTTAAAAAAACTAAAGGTACTTAGGTCCAAGAGACGCAATTCCCATCTCTTACCCCGTGAAGCTGCATCATTGAAGCCCAACAAACTAACTTCTTTCAGCCGATATATAATTGTTGCAGCTGGTTTAATAGGGAAATGAAGAAGAGAGAAGAGATGGAAACAAAATCGGGAAAACATAAAAGGGAAGCGAACCACATGAGAGAGAGAGAGAGAGATGGGGGGTTTCAGTTCCAGCTCAACGGGAAAATCTTAAAACATTGGATTTACACCGTTCTCGGAGCCCTTTGTAAGTGTTAAAATATGTCTCAAGTTTAAGTCAATGAACGAAATCTAACCCGAAATAAGTTGAATATTTATGGACGTTCGTGGTGGCATTGCCATGGAAATCATATTTCTTGTTCGATATAATATAAGACTCCGTTCGTTTCGCGGAAAATGTGACATTTCTTGAAAATATTTTTCAGGAAGCTATTTTCCAGAAAAATGACAATATTTTCCGGTGTTCAGTTGAAAAATGAAAATGAATTGAAAAATATTTTCCATCGTCGGTATGGAAAATCTGATTTAATTTTTCTCCTTACACTCCTTTTAATAGTTTTTTTTTTATTTTCATTTTTTTAAAAAAATCGAATTTTTAATTATTTTTATCCTTAAATTATTTTTTAATTCTGAATTTTTTAATAATTTTTTATATTTCTGTAATTTTATTTTTTTCTCTTCTTTTTTTTTCATTTTTTTCTTCCTTTGTTGGTCGCCGGCCACGGCAACGGCTAGTGACCAGCCTCGGGTGAGGCTCGGCCTCGCTCGCCCGAGGCCAAGCCTTGCCTCGCCAGATCCGATAAGGCGCGGCTCGAGCTCGCAGGCCTCAACCAAGGCCGAGCCTAGCCTCGCCTTGCCTTGCCTTGCCTCGTTAGATCCAGCTAGGCTCGAGGCCTTGCGAGTGGCGAGCTCGCTAGAAAAGGAATCGCAAGGCAGCAGCAAGGCTAAAGGCCTTTGGCGACGCTCGAGCGTCGCTAATCTGCGAGGCTCGAGCCTCACCGCCCTCTGGCAACCCTCGAGCGTCTCCAATCTAGCGAGCTCAAGCCTTGCCGATCTATGGCGAGGCTCGAGCTCGCCTATGGCTAGTCGCCAGCCAAAGAAAAAGGAAAAAAAGAAAAGAAAAGAATAAAAATACAAATAAAAATAATTCAAAATTAGAATTTTAATAAAATAAAAAATAATTAATAATTAATAATTAAAAATAAAAGGTGAAAGAAGGAGGAGGAAATCATTCTCCTCACTTTTGAAGGTATTTTGTCCAATGAGGGAAAATATTTTCCTTGACTACTTTATTTTTCATGAAATGAACGTCGGAAAATGGAAATTACGGAAATCAATTTTCTTGCTGTGCGTTGAAGATGGTGGACAGTGTCAGGGAAAGAAGAAAGAAAAAAAAAATATACGCACGAAATTGGTTTCTACGTTGAAGTCAGCAAGGAAAATATAAAAGAGGAAAGTTTACCATGGACTTTCCTCAACTTTCCTTTTTTTATGTGGGACTCGGTTCGAGGAAGGTTGTTTTCTTTCTATTATATATATGGGCTAATTTGTTTCTTGTGAAAAAAAAGGGTGAGAGGTGCGCAGTTGCTGGTGAAAATAGCAGCGTGGGTCTTCGTGAAATTTAACTGCAGTGAAGTTTTCTTGTGAATTACATCCAACAAAATTACTGTGAAAGCCGATTAAATCTTATGGTAAAATTTGTGAATAATTTCTTCTGAGAGATTGATAAATATATTTATAATTCCTTCATGAGATTGAGATATTATTTCGTGAGAAATCGTAGAGTTAAAAACTGTGTGAGTTATTGAGTGTAATTGGGGTTTGGAAACACGAAAGTGTTTGAGTGACTAGAATGTAGTTGTAATCTCCGTTGTATCGCTTGATCTATAATGAAATTCGTTATTGCTCTCTCCACGTGAACGTAGGTCACTATGACCAAATCATGTAAATCTAGTGTCCGATTTATTTTTTTTGTTCTACTTATTTTATTGTTCGATTGTTTGTTTCCTCAACAGTAAGAACTCGAAGGATTAATTCATCTAATTGAATAAATTTTCTTGGTAAAGCTGTAATTTAGGATTAGTTCGGATTTTAGGTTTACTCGGTTGATTCTAAAGATTGTTGAGCTGTGAAATCATGTTGTAAAGAAGCTTTTGGGTATCGTGGAACCGTGAGATTTTATAAAAGTCTATTTGGGGTCACAATTTGATTGGGGTGATATTTTTAAATTTGTTGCACATTGTGGGAACCATATTGGAAAAAGCTGTATTTGGTGCCGGTTTTCACCCGTCTCCGACCATCTTTTAAGTCAAGCGAGTTGGCATTATAAGTATGTCTAGTAAGCTTTTCAATTGCTCCGGAACCACATGAAACGGGCGTTGGAGGAGCTCAAACGCTCGTTTAAGCTTTCCAACTACCGCTGGCAACAGTAGTTGTTTTACTTTGGGCTAGCTTTTCGTTGTTGCGGCTGAGTTGTTTTGTTATTGAATAAGCTTAGTTTAGTTAGTCTTGGTTAACTTAATTATATACCGGATTTTGATATTTGTTTCTCACTCAATTATTAAGATTTCAAGTTTTTCCGCTCAAATTAGCTTTTGTTGATTTGCATTTTCAAGTTAATGGTGCTTATCTCTTCTATGATTTGGAAACTAATCTCTTGAAAATTATAAGAAATGTATATGTTATAATTTATGAAAGAGTCGTCACACAGTGTGGTAAATGATAAAAGTACAAAAAGTCCTAAAACTTATAATGAAAACGTGATTATTTAAAACTTCCAAAAAGTACAATTAAATCTTAAAACTTATCAAATTGATGTAATCAACTCATTTCGTTAACTCCATCCAACTTGGCCATCAAAAAATACAAACATGGCTTTTTTGTTATTTTGTCCCTCCTACGTGGCATTAATGTTACTAAAGCATGAAGCATAGGACTAAAAGGAAGGCATTTTTGTCCAAATTCTAATTTTTTTTAACCCAAATTATAGTTAAATTAGATTAAAAATATAAAAAAGGCTAAACCTTTTTTTTTAAAGAAAAACATACAAAGAAAAGAAGAAAACAACCCACAGGCGAGGGCATGTAGGCCTTCCCCTGTGGGGCGCTGCCGCCTTGTCACCATTGCTAGAAATGGCCAGCGAGGGTTGTCGGCTCTCCCTTAGATTTGGGCAAGGTTCGGTAACCCTCACCCCAGGGTCAGCCATGCTCACCTAGATCTATGTGAGCGTCGCAATCCTCTCCTAGATATGGACGAGAGCCGTTGGCAATCACCAAGGATTCCAAAAGCCCTGTCGGCTAGGGGTGAGCACGGTCTCAGTCCAATTCGGCAACCAAACCGGACCGAACCAACCAGTTTTAGGCGATTCTCGTGGGAACCGGGAACCAAAATGTTAAACCGGCGAAAACCGATCCGGTTCCCGATTCCTTGGGCGGAATCGGCTACCTAAACCCTCAATAAAATTTCGAGTCCTCTCCTATCTTCTATTTTTCATCAGACACAAACTTGGGTGTGTAAAAGCTAAGCCCTTGTTCACTGCTCGCACAGTCAGGCTTCCGCTCGCCGCTCATCCAGCAGCTCGCGACGCCCTCGGTTCATCTCTCTCGTGCTCGTCGCTCACCACTCACTTCTCAATCTTCCCTCTCTCTTTCTCACTGCTCGCTCCTCTTCGCTCATCGCTCAATCTCGCTCTCACCTCTCTCTCTCTCTCTCGCTTGATGTTCAGTCCCGGCAATCGTCTCCGTCGCTTGTCGCCATCGTCACGCAAGGAAGCCCTTGTTCTTTGCACATGAGAACGAAGTAAATTTCTTGGTTCTTTGGTTTATCTTTTCTTATGCTTTGGTGAGACCAATGGTGTTGTGGATTTGGACGTGAGTCTGAGCTTTGAGGTTTTGCTTGTTGATAGCAGGCAATTTCATTATTAAGTATTATGCATAATCAGTACATTAAAAATTTCATTATTAAGTATAGTTAAAGAGTGTTTCAGGAGCACCTATTTACAAAATCTTACTATTATTATTGTTGTTGTTGTCGTCGTCGTCGTCGTTCGTGGTTCGTATCATGTATAACATGAAATGAATTGGTGCATCTCCACTCTAGCTCATAGCAATTCAAGTACCACGAAAAACCCCAAAATAGTACACATGTAACAATTTACCCCAACCTAAATTTTTTATCACGAAAAATCTCAAACTGGTACGCATGTGATAAATTTACCCTAACCTAATTTTTTGACCACCAATAGCTCCAAACTGGTACATTTGTGATAAATTTACCCTTCGTTAGTTTCTGTTAGATTGGATTAATACGAAAAACTACAAACCAGTACACCTGTGATAAATGGAGGGTAAAATCCAAGACTGGTATACTCGTCAACTATCACGTGTCATCCACCTCAGTAATTTAATGGTAAAATTTAACGGAAACTACTTGGAGGTAAATTTGTCACAGGTGTACCAGTTTGGGGGTTTTTTGTGGTCAAAAAATTAATTTAGTGTAAATTTATCATAAATGTATCAGTTTTGGATTTTTCGAGGTATTAACCCTATCAATTTTCGAAAGACAGTTTTTTAGTTTTTCCAAGTGCATATCCTTCCCACTACTTGGGAAGAGGGAAAACTAGAAAGAAAAGTCTCACTAATTCTTCATGGGTGGCCTTTGTTGATCAATCTTTCCTTACCGTGGAAAACAACTAAAGCATATTATGTAATCACAATATAGTCGCCGACTATAAAGTATAATTAAATGGTGCCTCCGGAACATTTGTTAATAAGACCCTATTATTGTTATTATTTATTATTATTATTATTATTAGTGATTCATATTATGTATAACATGAAATGAATTGGTGCATCTCCACTGAGCTCATAGCAATTTTCAAACGACAGTTTTTTAGTTTTTTCCAGTGCATATATTTCCCACAACTTGCGAAAAAATTATAAAGAAAAGTCTAACTAATTGCTAAAATTATAAAGAAAAGTCTCACTAATTGTTTGTGGGTGGCCTTTGTTGACGAATCTTTCCGTATCATTAAAAACAACTTAGAATAATATTTAATAACAATTTAGGCGGTAGCCGCAGGCCATCTTTGACTGCGGAAGAGCGACCGTTGAAGCCTTGAGGAAGTCAACATCAAGGGACAGAACAAGGAAGGAAGAGAAGAGTTCAAGAACGCTAATTGGGGGAGCGAGTAGTGAAACGCGCCGGAATCATCCATTATCCGGCATAAGTAATACTGCGAGGTTGGGAGTTCCATGATCATCAGATAATTCTTGAGATACCGTGGGATTTGATCTAGTAAATTGAGTATTAGGCAATAATTTCTGGAAGAGTTTGGTCGGCATGAACACAGAGCAAAGAATTTTTAGGAGACATGGATTATCCCAACTTCACAGGCACAACATCATACGAATCACTTAAACGAGTTTGCCCATCCTAACATCTTAAGCCTAATCAGATAGTGAAAGCGATTAGATGTTATCTATGATTTTCATGTTCTTCACTTTAATTCAAATTGGGATCAGCTATACTTATCAAGTCAATAGGAGTTTTCTATCCCAGCCCGAGCCATCAGTCAGGACCAAATTATCATAGGAATGTTCGAAGTACGGTCTAGGATAATAACTGGCATACCTGGGCATATGGAAGAGTAGGGCTTGTCCGGGCAATAGCACTTGAAATCACCAGAACTATTATCCCGTCCACACTGCCCGCCTGAAGCGAGGCAGCCGCTGCATTGACTGGCCACCGTCCACTGCAGCCCAAAGCCCTCATCAATGGCTGACACTACAGTCGTGTTGGTCGGGGTTGTGGTCATCTCTATCCCCTCAATGGCCGACTGGTTCGCAGCCAAAACCACACTGGTTTTGCAGGCTCCAAAGTAACTTGTTATGTTCGAGAGATCGAAGCCGTTAGAAGTCGTGATATCGCTAACGTTCTTTGTTATGAAGTAACCGATGACTTTGGTGTTGTTGATGGTGCAGTTGAACTGGCTGCTGATAATCGCTGACCATACCTGACTCGTGCTTCCCCCACACCCATAGTACAGAGTCAGGTTGCTGGCCACGGTGTCTGAGGTGTAAGCGAATGGGGTGGTGATGTCCTGGGTGGTATTGATAAAAGAGGCTGGGCAGATATTATTCCAGTAATCATTTCGGGCAATAGTCATCTGTGAGGTGCCATCGACCCGAAGGACCCGATGGTCTTGGTTAGATATGGTGATCAGTGGAGTCGTGTTGTCCTGACAAGTCAGCTCGAACTCGGGCAGGCCGCAGTAGGAGGCGCGGTTCAACCCCCAGAAGGGGTAACTGATGTTTTGCAGGTCGCCGCATTGGATGGTGGAGCTGCAGTTCAGGTAGCTCGCGTCGTCCGCGCAGCACGCCGTCGGAGCTCGGATCAGGATCAGGGTGGTTGCGATCACGAAGCACAGTGAAAGATCCCAAAAGGGATGGCGATGGGGATGCATCATCATCTTTTGGAGGAACTTTTTTTTGGTGAGATGCAGAGGAAAGGAGAGACAAATAAGGTTGGGGATGGGCAAGTGAAAAGGGAGGGGGATGAGGAAGATGAAATGACACGGTTTTCATGCGTGAATAGTCATAGATCACGATTATAAAACTAGTGGAGAGTTTTGACAAAGAAGAAGAGGTAGAAATTGACCGAATAGAAGCTTCTGTCGGGAAAAGGATATCGCATTGCCGGTCAAATGTGAAGATGCCTGACCCAGACTCGATCGAATGGGGGTGATTTGTTCGTCCAATTTCCAAGCGTCCTTATTGTATAATCGGTCGACGCAGCGGAAGCGGATTATAACTTTGCAATTAAGTCGGGAGCTATAGATATTCGACGGAGAAATAAAACAAGGAACAATAAAAAGACACGAGCAATTTAAGTGGTTCGGTCCGAATGTCGGAACCTACATCCACGGGGAGAGCCAGTAAATAATTCACTAATAAATCGAAGAATTACAAGGTTATAATCACTCACGCTCAAGTATTTCTCAGCCCTAATATATACCTAATACCCATAGTATTTAATAACTCAACTCAATGGACTTGATACCGCACAAATCTCTCCAAGCTCACGCCTTTGTTCGTTTCTTGAGCTCTCTCTCATCGCACTATTTTGAACTCACAATGAGCTCTCTCTAGTTATACACAGGGAGGAGCCCGCACCCACTTATTACGCATGAAGAAGTCTTCCCTTCTTTTCGGTTGCCAGAGGAAATCAATGAATACAACAAAACAAGCCCACACCTTTTTGATAGATACATAATAGGGTTAATACTACGAAAAACCCTAAATTAATACACATGTAACAAATTTACTTCAAATTAATTTTTTGACCATCAAAAATCTCAAACTGGTATACTTATGACAATTTTATCCCGAACTAATTTTTTGACCATCAAAAATCTCAAATCGGTACATCTATGACAATTTTACCCCGAATTAATATTTTGACCACCAAAAATTTCAAACCGGTACATTTGTGACAATTTTACCCTTTTTTAGTTTCTGTTAAATTTTACTGTCAAATTGCTGAGTTTGATGATACATGGTAGTTGATGGGTGTACCAATTTGGGGTTTTACCCTTCTGTTCGTCACAATTTACGAATTTTTGGTTTTTCGTTATATTAATCCAATTTAATGGAGGGTAAATTTATCACAAGTATACTAGTTTGGGATTTTTGGTGGTAAAAACATTAGTTCAGGGTAAATTTATCACAGACATACCAATTTTGGATTGTTGGTGGTCAAAAAATTAGTTTGGGATAAAATTGTCACAAGTGTACCAGTTTAAGATTTTTTGTGGTCAAAAAATTAATCTTGAGTAAATTTATCATAGGTATACCAGTTTGGAATTTTTTATAGTCAAAAAATTAGTTCAGAGTAAAACTATCATAAATGTATCAGTCTTAGGTTTTTCATAGTATTAACCTTATATAATATTATCAAAGGTAGGGCCCCCTTCATTTATGTGTACAGAGAAGAATTCATCTTCTCGGTTCATGCAACTCCTTATAATGTCAATTGGAGTCTTCTTCATTAAATGTGCAGCCTGTGGAAATCTCGCGCAAGAAGGAAATTGAAGACTCTGCTGCGTGTTAGTAAAAAAAAGTACCGTCTCATTTGTCTTCAACATGAGAGAACATATCTCACTTGTCTTTAACATATCTCTTTTAAACGAGACCCATGCGCAACTTATAATAAGTACATCTCATGCGGCACCGAACATTAAATGAAAACGTGTGCAGCCGAATCCGCAAAATCAGCAAGATGACGTGCATAAATAATTTTAGTCATCGGGTATTATTCAATAGCTCAAGCTCGAGATATAATTGAACAGTCCAAAGCACGAAATCTAAGATTGTCTTCATCTCTGACTCTGGCCTGAGCATTTCCGTTACCTTTATTTAATTTGACTGACCCAAAAAATTTTTTATATTTTTGTTAAAGACGCGTGGCATCATCGATGTGACTTTTCTCTTCCCTTTTGCTTTTTTTTTTTTCATTTCCATGCATGCTCCCCTTATTACTATACATCTTCTTCGAGCTTAACCACAACTGGGATCATCATCATTGGTCACCCGCCAACCAAGCTTCCGGAGCAATGTCACGCCATCGCCAATCCCTTCCCGACCATTGGCAGCCACCGGCGTCACCTCTGGCGAGCCCAAACAAGATCCCTGGTTTCGACTCACTGTTTTTGGAGCTCCAAGCAGCCATTTTCTCAGCTACTATAGTCGTGGGGCTGTCCTTGCAACTTCTTATGCTCGTCTCGTGCCTTACCGACGTCTAAGGAAGGGCCAGCGATTCCTACACCCACACCTGCCGATCGAGACCCAAGAGCCTCTGTTTTTGCGCTCTTTTGATTAGCGTCCTTCTCTGGTGTTGAATTTTGGACAATCACAAAAGAAATAACACACAAGAATTAACGAGGTTCAGCAATAAGCTTACGTCCTCGGACAAATCTCTCACGGTGTTTCTCTCCTTTTTGTCGTGAGTTTTGCTTTGCCATTATTCTTTCTTTTATACAGAATTAAGTTGCTACAACAAAGGTAACAAGCAACCTGAAATAGGAAAACACTCCTAAATAGGTAGTAAGATAAAAAATACAATATTGACAATATCTCTTTTCCTAGAATAGGAGATCCAATCCCGCAACACTCCCCCTCAAGTTGGAGCGAAGACATTGTCAAAGGTCAACTTGTTCACCATATCTTGGAATGCTCCTTTGGGAAGAGCTTTGGTGAAAATATCCGCAAGCTGATCTTCACTGCGAATGTAAGGAGTCTCAATTGTCTTATCTTGAACCTTCTCCCTCACGAAGTGACAATCCACCTCTATGTGTTTAGTCCTCTCATGAAAAACAGGATTAGAGGCAATGTGTGTTGCTGCTTGGTTGTCACAAAACAACTTTGTAGCTTTAGTCGTAGTCTCACATCCCAATTCCTGAAGCAATAATCGTAGCCATACAATTTCGGATGTTGTGGTAGCCATGGCCCTGTACTCGGCCTCTGCACTAGAACGAGCAACAACATTTTGCTTTTTGCTTTTCCAAGTAACAATATTTCCACCCACAAATGTGCAAAAACCTGTCATAGATTTCCTATCCACAGGATTTCCAGCCCAGTCTGCATCAGTATACCCAACAATTTCTGTGTGACCATTATTCTTCATCAATATTCCTCTTCCTGGTGAAGCTTTTAAGTACCGAAGCAGGTGGTTTATCAATTCCATATGCCCCTGTGTTGGATTCTGCATAAACTGACTCACATAACTGACAGAATAAGCAATATCAGGCCTAGTAATGGTTAAGTAAATTAGCCGTCCTACTAGTCGCTGAAATTGCCCAATATCCTGTAATGGTGTATTATTAGAAACAAACTTACTGCTATAATCCATAGGTATATTGGCCGGTTTGACTCCAAGCTTGCCAGTTTCCTTTAGCAAGTCAAGAACATATTTTCTTTGCGATAAGAATATTCCTCTGTGAGAACTTGCCACTTCAATACCCAAGAAATACTTCAATTTGCCAAGATCTTTAATATCAAATTCCTTGCTCAAATGAAGTTTGAGTGTTTCAATTCCATATGAGTTACTACCAGTAATAACAATGTCATCGACATAAACTAGAATGACAACAATACCTTGATTGTCGGCTTTAGTAAACATCGACGAGTCTGCAGCACTTCTTTTGAAGCCGAACTTGATGAGTGCCGAACTGAGCTTACCGTACCAGGCTCTAGGCGACTGTTTAAGTCCATATAATGCTTTCTTTAATCTACACACAACTCCATCCTTATTTTGCAAGGGATGTCCTGGAGGAAGACCCATATACACTTCTTCTTCTAAATCTCCATGAAGGAAGGCATTTTTTACATCCATATGAAACAAAGACCATCCACAATTAACAGCTATAGATACTCTTACCGTGTTCATTTTTACCACTGGTGTGAAGGTCTCTTTGTAGTCTATCCCATATGTCTGAGTGTATCCTTTGGCAACAAGGCGAGCTTTATATCTCTCAATAGAACCATCACTATTATACTTGATTCTGTAAATCCATCGACATCCAATAGTGTTTTTTTCCTTTGGCAATTGTACCAACTCCCAAGTGTGATTACGATCCAAGGCTTGAAGTTCATCTTTCATGGCGTCAATCCATACACCTTTATCCTTTGCTTCCAAGTAGCTAGTAGGTTCCTGTTGCTCCTCAATAGCAGATAAAAAACTGAAGTGGTTATGAGAAATTTTGTCATACCCAATAAATTTCTGGATAGGATGATGAACAGTGTAATAAGTGGAGAAATCCCGAAGACATGTTGAAGGTCGAGTAACACGTGATGACCTTCGAAGTGAAATAGCTGTTGGCACCTCTTCTGCTGCATTTTCATTCATTATACCCTCAGGAACAACTTCTGGATTAGCAGCTGGGAAGGCATCACTGTTAGCGGTGATATCAGAATCACGTGAGTGGTCATGAACCACTTCTGGGCATGAGCCTGCAGGACTCCTGACATATGGCATCTCCTCGGGCGATATTGGGACAGGAACAAAATCAAGATAGAATTCTCTATAGTCATCAGTGTACTCCCCCTGAGTTTGGTTCCTGTCAGAGAAGAACATGTGAGCTTCATCAAAAAACACATCACGAGAGATATATACTCGGTGGGTACTCAGGTCGTAACACCGGTAGCCTTTCTTGACGGAGGAATACCCAACAAACACACATTTCCTAGCACGAGGATCAAGTTTACCACCGGTTTGAGAATGAACATAGCAGATGCACCCAAATACCCTCAAATGAGAAAGGTCGAATTTCCGACCATGTAACACTACCATAGGGGTCGTGTAGCCCAAAACCCAACTAGGGAGTCGGTTAATTAAGTAACAAGCCGTGAGAACAGCATCGGCCCAATAGGTTTTTGGCAAGTGACCGGAGAACAATAAAGCCCGAGTTACTTCAAGAATATGGCGATTTTTTCTTTCAGCAATGCCATTCTGTTGAGGAGTACCAACACAGGAGGTCTGATGAAGGATGCCCAAGTTGTGTAAAAAATTTTGAAACTGTTGATTAGTATATTCAGTGCCATTGTCTGTACGGAGAACTTTCACAGCAGTATTAAACTGATTTTTTACCATGCTGCAAAATTCTT